CACAGTTGTGCACAAACTAATAGGCCTATAGTGCTTAAGGGATGTGGGGTTCATGACTTTGGGAATGAGAGAGATAACTGTATGGCTGATTGACTTGATGAGATGACCAATATGAAAGAATGTTTGAATAGCACTGATTAAGTCTTTCTTAACAATGTTCTAAAACTTCTGGAAAAAGATAGGAGGCATCCCATCTATTCTAGGGGCTTTGTCTGGATTCATAGAGAAAATGGCAGATTTGATCTCTTCCTCATCTACAGGTTTTGTCAGCCTATCATTCGTACTCCCTAAGATAGTGTGAGATATACCACTCAGAATTTTCTCCATGTCTCCTTCCTCTGATGTTTTGAAGAGGTCCCTATAGTAATTGGCAATTTCAATACTTAACTCCTCTTCATTCTTAGTTCAAGTTCCATTCTCTTTCTGGATATCAACAATTCTGTGTTTCCTCCTTCTATCCTTAACACAGGCATGGAAGAACTTAGTGTTCTTGTCCCCTTCCTTTAGCCACTGCAATCTGACTTTTTGGCTCCAATAAACCTTCTCGTCTCTATAGGCTTCTCTTAACCTACTCTTCAGAAGTTTTCCCTTGCTCTTCTTGTCACCTATGTCACTTTCTTTTAGTGCATGCAATTGTCTCTTGATCCTTTCAATGTTAACCTTAGAATTATTTTGGAGCTTATTTTTCCATTTTAGCAGTGCTGTTTTGCACCTCTTAATCTGCTGTGTTACTCTGTACATCCTTGTGCCTTCATCTCCTTGTTTCCAAGCCTGCTCCATAATCTCATTGATCTCTCCATTTTGGAGCCACCTTTTATCAAAATAAAACCTTTTCTTCCTCTTATCCTGACCTAGTTTGGTGTCAAACATCAACATGCTGTGGTCTGAGGCAAACGAGTGCAAGTGTTTGCAGATGACCTTATCAAAAGTTTGGTACCAAGGAAAGCTACATAACTCTCTGTCCAGTCTTTGCTTAATTTCTCCTTCACCTTCCTAGTTGTTGTACCAAATCCAAGGGTGACCCTCAAAGCCTACTTCCATCAACTGGTTCTTATTAATAAAATCTTTAAAGGTCTTGAAACTACCTTATTCTCTTCAGTTACATCCCTACTTTTCATCATTCGACAGTATGTCATTGATATCACTTGCTAGTAACCATTTTCCCCCCAAAGATCTTTCCTTGCCTGAATCACTCTCCACTGCTGTTTTCTTATTTGGTCCTCACAGCTGGCATAAATTCCTATAAACCACCACTCACTCCTACTCTCCTGATCTTCTATTTGAGCTTCAATAGTAAAGGCAGTGCTTAAAACTTGCTTGATCCTGACCTCCTCTTTCCACATGGGGGCCATACCTTCTGCCTTACTCATAGCTTCCACTATTGCTATCTCATCAAATTTCAAAATGTTTTTTGCCTTTTCCATATATTTATTTCTATTCTTGATTTCACACAAAAACAATACATTTGGAGAGGAGAGGTTGTTCACCTCTCTCGACTGGGGAATTGTCAAGCGGCTCCCCACTCCTTGACAATTCCACACCAGAGCTCTCAGTTATCTAATGGGATCCATTTTGGGTTGGACCCCTCCCCCTCAGTATCCATACCTATTGAGGTTCTATTCAACTCAATTTTATTTCTCTTTCCATTTTGCATGCTGTCCTTATCAATTACCATTCCCATTTCCCCTATGACCCCTTTTCTTTTTCTTGACTTCCTTTCTCTGATGGTATTAGTGCTAATCTCATTCAGAGGCTGCCTTTGTTTCTTGGGGGATCTCAGGACTCTCAGAATCCTTCTATTCTGTCTATCTACAGTCTCTTTCATCTTTGTTTCCAATTCTGCTCTCATGCTTATGGACTCCATTTCTGTGTCTCCTTCTTCACAGTTCCCAGTCTTGGGGAGCTGAACCGTCACAATGCTATTTCCTCCTTCCATCATCAGTATGTCTGAGCTAACTCATTCCTTTCCCTTTTCCCCTATTTGTTTACCTTCCCCTAAACTCTTACCTTGTTCCTTGGGTACCTCATACCCATCCCTTGATTCCTTTGGGAGCTGATCTCTAGCTCTATTATCCCCTACACTATTAACCACTTCAGTAGACTTATTAGATTGTATGCTCAGTTCGTTAATTATACCTCTCCACTGTTCTTCCTGACTACTCCCTCCTAATGCCTGAGTTCTAATCTCATTTCTAGACTTTTTGATGCTGGTATTAGCCTTTGGTGTCTGGTCCTTATGCTTACCTTCCTGCACACCATTCCTCCCTTTCTCATTCCACTCTCCATCTTGGAGTCTCCAGTGATGTGCTTGAGGGTTGTACACAATACTGGACTGTTTTTCCTGTGGAGAACTCCTTAGATTACCAACCCTTAACCACAGACCATATTGATTATCCTTCTTCCCCCCTCCAGTATAGACTTGCTTTTGCATGTCCTTTTACTGTGTCCTATAATGCCATAATTGTAGCAAAAATCTGGGTATCTCTTACCACTTAGTTACATTTCCAATCTTAACAATGGTTCCTCTCAGTAGGGTTGGCAAATGTTAACAACCACTAGAAGTTTCAAATGTTTATCTTCTTTTTACCCCTAGTCCGGGGAACTATCACCTCTCTCACTTGGTGAAAGATTAAACCTATTTTCTTTCCTGCTTCTTTCGACATCTAGTGTACCGGCAAGTTCCAAACTTGAATCCATAGAGGTGCTAAGCAGAATGCCCTTTCAATCTCCTTTATTCCTTCATACCAGTTGTTCAGAACAAGCACTTGGTTTTCCATTATCCAAAGTCCTCCATCCAGGATCCTCTCCCTGTCACTTTCCACCGGTAGAATGAACTGAAACATATTCGGTCCTCGATCCACCACTCTCAGTTCTCTAGGGTATCCCCAAGTTGTTGTCACAAAGTTTTTGACCCCAGTGTAGTTTGAGACTTTCTCTCCCATTACTTTACCAATCAAGCTGATTTTGCATTCTTTCACCCCTTCCCCTATCTCCTCGCTACCAAGGCTAGTAGCTTGAAGTTCTATGCTAGAAAGGTCAAAGTTCTGCATGATCTCAACTAGTTCATCCGCCATTGTCTTAAGCAAATACTGTTGGTATACCACACACTACTCCTTAGAGTCTAGATACTCACAAAACCTACGTGAGAAGGATAAAATCTACTCTATTTCTCCTTCAAGCAACCTGGAAGGAAGAAACGAAAGCCAAACAAGACACAAAACTAAGGCTAGGATGAGATAGTTATGTCCATGAAATTACCCGTCTCAGCTTTGTCAAAGTCTCCAGGTGGTTTGTTGGCTGTGGTCCAGAGCTCTAGCTTGGTCAACCATCTTCTTTCTTCTTAGTTTTCTTATACTACTAGGATGGCGACTAGTCAGCTGAAGCCGCGAGAATTTTGCAGACTTGGATTTTTTTTTCCCTTTTCGTATGAACTTAAAACAGGGAACTAAGATTTCAGCTTGTTAATGTTGGTGTTTTTTCCGATAGAGTTTTGCTTTCCGACAGAGTTTTGCTTTCTGAGCAGTTTAATGTTGCTCGAAAAGCTAGGAGTGTTGAGAAATAAGTACGCCAACCGGTTGAATTTAAGTAGGTGTATTTCAAATTCAAGATTCAAAAAGTAACTTTTTGGTGCTGTCTGAAGCTCCCACCACGGGGAGATAGAGCTCTCTTTTTAGAGAGAGAAATTGCCTCTACTAGAGAGAGGACTCATATTCCAATATGCAAATTAGATTGAAATTGTATTGAAAAATGTGCAAAAGTTAAGTACAACTTTTTCCTTTTCTTTTTCTTTTTATTTCATTTATTCATCCCACTAATTTCTCATAGACTTTTTCATTTGCATAGTTGGTCTTAGATTTGGCATAACACATACACACACACACAATATGCATGCATGTATGTATGTATGTATGTATGTGTGTATATATGTATGTATTACTTTGCACTGTGAAGAGTTAAATGATAATGAACTCTATTATTACTGTTATTTGTATTGATAATTAAACACTCAATTAAATGACCCTTTAAGAAATAAAAAATTTGTTTTATATGTAAGTTAGATTGTTCGTCTTTCTTTTTTCAATTTCAATAGGTTATCAATTGAGTATGAGTTGAATTGGCTTTTTGTTAGTTATTCGACTCACAAGATAAAATTATCAGGGTAAACAAATAGTAAAATAAATATTTTAAAACTTTACTATTGGAACATTGGATTTAATAGGGAGGAAAAACAACAAAATAGAGGAAGTTTTTTGTTTTTTAGAGATTCCTAAAAACACTTCATTTGTACTTATATTCAATAGTTTTTATGATTAAACTACTAACTACACCAATTTGCAGCTTATGTCCACTAGTCAAGCAAGAATTTGTGTAGTCGAAATTAACAAAGCTATATACTAAAACTACAATTTTTTTCCTTTTCTTATACTAATTTTTGTTTTACATATCAAATTTATATTGTATTACAACTTTCAACTTATTTAATAAAGGGATGCTCTTTAGATCAAAATGATATGAAGTGTTTATGAAATTCTATAGGAAGTAGACAGCACATGTATTGTATATTTAATCAATTCATATCTCGTTTGCATTTTCAAATTGAAAATGTGGCTATAACTATTTAAAATCTAAGGGACCATAATAATCTAAATTCAAGATATTAGTGATTATAGGTGCAATGCCAAAAAACTTTTGACTAATGGTAATTAAAATTTTTTTTATCTAGTGTAAGTGGATGCCTTGAATCCAAGACCTTTCATTTCTATTCTCACCTTCAGTACTACCCAACCCATCCCTCTTTCTAATGGTAATTTGATTTTGACGATTAATCATTATTGATTTTCTATTAATTGTCTTAAATGGCAAGTGCCTCAAATTTGAAACTTTCGGGACCAAATTTATTTTAGTTGAAATATTAAGGACCAGTTTCGCACATAGGCCAAACATGGGAAACTAAATTGCAACTATTGAAACAAGCGTTATGCTAAGGATTTTGAAGCTTCCACGTAAGGGGGAGCAAAATCAGGCCTTCTTTTTTTTTTTTTTAAGCCCTTTTATTTTCTGAGGAGGACAATGCATCCCAATTGGGAAAGAAAGGGAAGAATTGAACACCTAAAGAAAAAAGCGCAAAAAGATTTCCAGCAATTCAGCTCCTATGGCAATGGCTTTCCGATTTCCTTACAGACCCTTTATTACTGTAAGTGTCTGATACAAGAAATTTCTATTTGCAGCTTGAATGGTTATTCCAATGGTGTTTTAGTTTTCTGGAATATATTGCACTGTTTGAATGTTGTGCTGTAATTTATGCAAGAATATTTGTCAGAGATGCTGTAATTGATTGTAGTAATTTTTATTTTTTGCTGGGAATATACTGACGCTAGATTATATATTGGTGAATTAGCTTTATGTTATTTGAACACCGAAATGGTCATTTGGGAAGGAAGTAAATATTTTAGTGAGACAGATGAAGCATATTAGGTCTGGTATATTCTTCAGATAACTTTTAAATGATAGTACAGAAACCAGGAACAGAAACAATATAATAGTCATTGATATATACGGAAGAAAACAGTAATTTTTTTTAAGGGAACAGTTATATGTTCATCCAGTAGAAATGCCTAATGAAAACCTTGAGGTTAAATTTCAGGCAGTGATAGTGAAAGAAAAAGCGGGATCTTCCTGTTTTTCAATTTTTGCTTTCTCATTTTGAACCTTTTGTAGAATATATCTGACAGTTAGAGCAAGGTGTTATATTCTGGATCTGCTCTATGTATTTGAGAGAGAAGATCAGTTTTTGTTATTTTAGCTGAGTTTGGTTTGGCTCCGGTTGAAGGTGTAGTGGGGAGGGTGGATATAGGAGCCTTAGGGCTTAGGAAGGACAATGGACCAATAGGAGTAACTGTTAAATAGTGGAACTTTTGGGCTAGTGGTGTGTGTTTGTTTATTTGAGTGATTTTTCTTATTCTTTCGTCTTTCCAGAATTTTGGGAAAATATGATGTTCCAGAAAAGCCATTAAACATGGAAGGTTCTTTAACATATCTAATGTTTTTATAATTTGATCACGTCAGACTGTTCTGCTTCAATTGTATATATGCCATGATTGATTTGGCTATTCCTTGAGGGGGAAATCACATTGTGAATGTAACGTGTGGGAATTGATCTAGAAATATGTTAGTTAGCAAATGTTATATCATTTTAGTCGTTAAGATTGACACTGCCTGATATGTCATTTGGTAATTGGAAATGTATTACTTATAATATATTACATTGTTGTGTGTCCTGAATTATCGAATCAAAGAAAAAAAACTATTGTCACCTTATGTAAAGTGGGTAGGCATAAACTTAAGCATAAATTATGTTGGCTCTGGATCTTTTGGGTGTTTAAATTTGGATTCTTTCTTCTGATGGGTAGCGGTGAACACTTGGAATATCCTGATATAGGACATGAAATTGGATGCTGGTGGCATATACAACACAACTGGAAAGGTGAAGGCAGAAAGTTTGGAGGAGAATCCAGACTGTAGTTGTGGCAAATATTTTGCAATCGCTTATGAAATTTCTTGCCAATCCAGCTGTTTTGGTCACTAGCTTAGAAACTGTCCATCTTTCACTCATAAATTCCTCTTTCCTATGAGTTTTCTTTTTTTCCTCCAAGAGTTTAGACCTCTTTTCTCTTCAAATTTTCATTTTATTATCTTTTGTATGATCTTTGTTGATAGCATATGTAGATTTATGAAATTCTTTAAATTTCAGTTTCTTTCATGCCAAATTCATAGGATTTGAATATTCTTCAATTCGTGGGACTTTAATTCTATACTGAAATGATACATTTTCAAGTTCCTATAACTATCTATTGTTTTTTCCCCCTCCATTGCAATATGTTTATTCAAAAACTCAATTTACAGATTTAACATGACAAGAGAAGTGATATTTAATGTCCTAGATTTCGTTTTCTTAAAACCTCAGTTCCCAAAAATTTCGAAGACAGTGTAATTCTCAATTGCTTTGAAGAGAACATATGCTTATAGTTTGTGCTAAAAAAAACATGCCTATGTTTTCTCTTTCATCTATTTACATGTCAATATAATCTAATGGGATTCTTTGTTTATTTAACTTAGGTGACAAAATTTTGAAATTTCAAGAATTTGGTAAAAACTGTAACATATTTGGGTTTAAATTTCATTCAGATTATATGATGTTCTCTCTCTCTTTTCGGTCCTTTGTAGACACTTATTTTCAACGTGTAATGAACATATTTACATATATCCAAATGAAGGAAAAGAAAGAAACCTTTTTGTGCTCTTATGAGCTGTATAATGTCATGTCCTGGAAATTGTCTCTGTTCTTTTAATTCCTTTCTGTAATTTTGATGAAGAAGGCTATAGTTACTTGAGTTCTACTATGCTAAATTAAAATTGTCTATTGGTGTTGAATGTTTGTTTGCCTAAGATGTGACTGATTCTGAGGAGAGTATAATTGTTTAGTGTTGCTGAATTAAATGCATTTAACATTTGCATTTTTTAATTTGAAAACTTGGCTGTCAACCTTGAATTTTGAGGGCACTTGCCTAAGAAGAGAGTGATTCATAGAGATTAAAATTATTTGTTGTGGCCAAATTGAATGTGTTCAACATTTCCAGTTTTGGGAAGATTCAACCGTGGGTTTTAAGGCTATCTGTGAGAAAATTTAATGGTGACAAAATTGTCTTAGTGCACCATGTGCTATTCTTATTTCACAATGCTTCTTTTCCTCTTTTCCTTTCTTGAAATTTCATGTCCATATCTCTTCCAAGAGTGAACTTTTGCCTAGTATAAGCTTGTTACACGGTGATCCATTGGACAACAGTATGTTTGCACGCAATTGTTACACATTTAGCTTTATCTAGACCAGGCAATGCACTTGGTTTGCGCCCTTTCTATTTTTTTTTTAAAGTAATCTATGGGTTTCTTCTCATAGACAGCTACAGGAGTACTCTAAGAGAAAATGTTGTCAGGAACATTTATGAAATTAAAGTCATGATGCTTCCAAATGCTTCAGAGAGTCATAAATGGTTTTGATTATTAACTGTTATCTTGTTTTGGAGTGGTTCCGTAGATAATTGGCCCATCATGCATGGTTTTAATTCTTACTTTGCTCCTTTACCATTCAGGGCCCGAGAAGTACAGGAGAATTGCTCAGCCAAATATTGACAGCAAGTTGGATATTATCTTGATACATGCTTTGGTTCTTCCATATCTGAAAGTAATTGATAGCTAAAATCTGAAAACAAGTCTTGTCTTCCTAATTTACAGGTTGCATTCAATCAACTTGCAAGAACAGAAAATCTCTTGGTAGAGTGGGAAGGATTTTATCTTTTCAAGGATCCTCAAAGCATGTGCAGACAGCTTGCCGAATCTCATTTCCAAGGGCTACTTTAGAAAGTAAAGAGAAGGCATCTTCAAGTTTGAGGAAAAAGATGATAATTCCTGATTCAGATCCACCTAGTGTTCAAGATGTCAACATTCTCTATCAATTTTTTGATAGGAGGTATGATTGATATTGATGGTATTGCATCACTTTTTTGTGTACCTGTTAGATTAATCTCAGGAGAATCTGCAGGAGCAGTATATATGTGATTGTAGAGAACTCATCTTTATTCTTCAATTTCTTGTCATCTGTGTGTGCACTCAACTTGGCAAGGACAACTGATCTGATTGCACTCATAACTCTAACTAAATCAAGAAGAATAGCATCCAGATTGATCTCCAGTTCAAAAAGCTCCCCATTTTTCCCTCTTTGATGATTCAATTAGCACTTTCTTTTTCTCTTTTGTGGAGGTGGAATGTTAACTCAATTTGAGTTCCTTAGTTGTCTATAATTTGCTTACTTCTGAAACTTTCGGTTGTCGCGTAAAAAGCCTGCCCCAGGGGTCACTTTTTACATATAAGGGTCTCTTTGACATAACAGTCCCATATAATTAATATGTACTTTGTGTAGTATGTGTGTGGGAGAGTTTAAAATGCACATTTGGTTTACCTTCTTACAGAAGGAACCAGCATGCATTAAGTTGTTTAAATATAAAGTTAAATTTAGTTGCAAGTTTTTACTGAAGAACATGCTGTTCCAGTGTGGTTTAAAAGAATTGAATTTCTGTAAGGTCTTCAAAGTTATTTTCTAAAGGATTGACACTATGTTTTTAAATTCAGGTTTTCCATTTAACAATTTGAATGTTCAAGATAGCCAATTTAAACTGGTTTTCTACTTTTCTCTAGCCTTTGCATGCTAACCTGCTGTTTAAATAACATATGTGAAAATGTTGCAGAAAACTGTGCACTTTCAGTTTCAAAGAGGTTTCATTTATGACACCTGAAATTCCTAATTATGAATTTTACCATTCCAAGGCAGTTTTACTCCCTTTCTAAGGGAAACTGTTATTTACATGATTTGTTAAAATCTCTGACCAATTTCGATTCTTGCTAATTTTACAGTTCAAATCTTGTTGTTCTGACTGGTGCTGGAATTAGCACAGAGTGTGGAATTCCTGATTATAGAAGGTTAGTGTCTTTTTCAAACTTTTTTTGGTTGCTTAGTTGCAGATTACAATGCTTACATGTCATGTTCCTGGCAATGTGTTAGTATGCATGGTATTTTTGATATGTTTTTTTTGCTTATTGACAACTTCTATAAGAACACATGTTGGGAGGTGCTTGGAATTAGAATTGGAACTTTAGAATCATATCTGGTAGGATTAAAAGATGTGTCATATTTTAATTGTGTCAGTGTTGTGTTTGACTTCTGTTTTTTGGGTTGCTAGCACATCATCACAGTGCTATTCTGTGATTCTCATAATGCATATTGTTTTCCTTAGGATTACATTGAGGAACTGTCACGCCCCAGCTTGCTGTGTTTTGGGTTGCTAGCACTCCATCATAATGCTATTCTTTAATTCTCATGCTGAGTGTTGCATATGTTTCCCATCAACCTTCATATTTAGATGCTTGTACATCTTATTAGAATAGCCTTAGCCCTCTTGCATATTGGTTTCCTTAAGATTACATCGGAGAACTGTCACGCCCTAGGCCCGCAGGCTGAAATGCAACCAAGGTCTCAGCAGCCAAGTCCAACTACTTGGGCGTCATCCTCGCTAGCCCAAAATGGATATCCCAAGTTGGACTTGAGTGCTTAGGCTCTACTTAAGTATCTCTCTTGCTTGTCTTCTAGACCAAAGGAGTGGAGACAAGATAAGAGAGAGTATAAGCTTGATCCACCATCACTTGTTGGTTTTTCGATGTGGGATGGGGTATCACATTCACCCTTCCTTTTTAGGCTTTGCGTTCTCGCAAATCCAGACTATCCACTCAGTTGTGTCAGATTCTATGTAGCACTTATCTCTTCACAGCACTTTGTTCCTTCACTCCCTTGTGTAGTCTGGCGCAATACCACTGGCTTAGTCTCCCTTGGGTCAACATAGCACTTAGCCCTGCACAGCACTTAGTTCCTCCGCTCCTTTGTGTAGTCCGGCCCAATACCACCGGCCCAGTCTCACCCGCTGTAGAGACCACACATGGCGCTTTGATACCATAATGTCACACCCCAGGCCTGCAAGCCCAGAACACACCTGCAAGCCCAGAACACGACCAAAGTCTCAGCAGGCAAGTCCAACTACTTGGGCTCCGTCCTCGCTAGCCCAAAATGGATATCCCAAGTTGGACTTGTGTGCTTAGGCTCTACTTAAGTATTGGTCTATAGCACTTTGCTTTTACGATGTGGGATGGGGTATCGCAGGAACCAATAGAAATTATTGTTAGTGACATGGCAAATCAGTAATGAAGGATAAAAGAGTAGAAGCTTGCTTTTGAATGCAAGAACTTAGCTGTTGATCTTCAACTAATCAGAAGTTAAAGTTCTTTCATTTGTCAATTGGTTGAATTAGTGATAGTGAGTACATTTTTATTTTTTATTTTTTACTTTTATAGACTTACTTATATCCACGAACTTGAGGATAACTTTCTGGTTGGTTCTACTAGAGTGGTGCAACTATCTCCTTATCAAGAGCTTCACTTACATCATCTAGTTTTTTAGTCCAACAGCATCTAGGGTTCCTTGAATTATGTGATATCTACCACTGGTTAATCTGCATCAAGCTGTTCACAGGAGCCAACTTGAAAGTTGTCTTAGTGGAATTTCTATTTCACACCCCTTAAGTTTTTATGTCTAGTCCTTTAATTACAAGAGCTCCAAAACCAGCATGATTTCCTTCTAGATTTGACTACCTTTTTTATTTCTGCAAAACAAAGCAGTACCTGATCTGTACCCAAAACTCTAACCTAAGAGGAGATGGAGGTCTTAAGGGGCAAAGGGGGAAGAAGGGCCGGAAAGACAGAAAGGCAGAGTGTTTGGTTTTCATTTCCTGCCTCTCTTTTTTTTCTTTTTTTGGGGGTGGGGTATGGTTGGATTAGAATTTTCTATGTATGCTGTTTCTGACATTTGAAGTTGCTAAGCCTACCGCATTAAATCATTATTCATTTGCACAAATGAAATGTTATAAAACAAGTAGGTGCAGCATTTTACTGATCTGCACCAGTTTCAAAATGTATATACTTTTTGTGACTAAAAAGAAAACTCGATAAACAAATACAAATATATTTTTCCTTTCTCATTAAAGAGTTACATATATATAATGAAAAGCTTCTGGTGTTAATGCTATCATAGAAAGCATGTGAAGAAACAGAATTAGAGCATTTGTTGGCAAAGTATCCTCTAGGTATCTTGTTCAAGTGCTAGATTTGATAATGGCTATAGAATGCAAATTATTGTTGTCATTAGCACTCAAGATTAAACAATCAAATGCACTGAAGTATAGGGATAACAAAGATGTTTGCAAGGTTTGAGTGACATGTAATAAGTCAAAACAATGCGAAAAAGCAAAATCTTTTGGCTGTACCAAACTTGTGGATGGAAGAATTGAACAATAATGAAAAATTTTTCCATGGATATGCTCATCTGAAGAGCATTAATGTTGCTTGGTGAGATGGTATATTGGCTGCAGGCTATTAGAAGCGTGGAATGAGTTTTACAGGTACATGAGTTTAAATATAAAAGAGGATTTGGAGATGACATCGAACACGGTTTTTAGGGAGAGATGGTTGTTGAAACAGATTTTCTGGTTGTTATGCAACTGATCCAAACAAGGGGAAATTAGTTATCAGTCATCAGCAAAAGTTACAGTGCATTGCAGGATACTAATATCTAGAGACTGGAGGCCTTTGTTTAGCACACTCTTAGTAAATGAAACAGGGCAGTGGACCAGCTTTCCAATTGGGGGTTTGGCATTTGTAATTATTCAGGAGTTATGTCAGGAGTTAGGACAGATTTTAGATCTAGAAAGGACGGGAGTTTTTCTTCCATGATTCGGATCATAGTGTTATCGTCCCCTTTGTATCAAGAAAGTAGATAGTTTTGCTCCTTAATCAAAAGGCTTGGGCAAGAGATTTTGGAGACAGACCTTTAAGAAGTATTACTTAGTCTGCACTTATTTTAATTAAGGGTAAAAAAACAAAAAAACCTCCTGTGGTAAACCTAATACAAAGAAAAGCCCCCCGTGATTTCAAAACGTACAACATAACACCTCATGTTTTGAACTAAATTGTAAAGGTGACGGAATCCGTTAAACTTAACGGAAATGACTTATTGGGACCTGAAAAAAATTTTTATACCTAATTTTTAACAAATATACCTATTTTACCCCTTAACCCTCAATTCTCTCTATCTAGAGAATAAAACAAATGATTTTTTTGGGCTGTCTTTTGCTTAATTATATCGGGGCATTTTGGTCATTTCGTCTATTTCTGTTGAATTTAACAGATTCCGTCACCTTTACAATTTAGTTCAAAGTATGGGATGTCGTGTTGTACGTTTTTGAAACCACGGGAGGCTTTTCTGTATATTAATTTTACCACGGGGGGCCTTTTTGTTTTTTACCCTTTAATTAAATAAATCTGAGGTTGCAGAAAATATAGAAAAGATGTAGTTAATATTATCTTCATTTTGAGTATTACTGGATTAGGACACAAATAGAGGATTTTTTCTGTGGGTTTTAATGAAGTTGGAAGAAGAGACTTGAAATTCTGTAAGTAAATGTCGGAAAGTACAGCCTTGGAAGCTTGAGTTTTCCGTGTCGGAGATGCATAATGTAGCAATCCTATGAGAAACAATGTTGAAAACTACAAAATTGTACGCTATTGGCCGTTTATTTGCAAATGCGATGAACAAACCGGGGGCTCCTCTTGCTTTGGAGAGTTCAAACTAATATGAGAAAACGGGAAAACAAAATATCTGATGCTTTCAGCGAACAGTAGGCACTCAAAAATTTCTAGTTGACCCCTAATGGATAAAGATAAGTCTGTCATTCATGAAACTGGTCCATTTGATAAAAGCAGAAGAGTGGGTTGCAGCCATCAAGCTGCACTGTGTGTTTGAATCAATGTATAAGTATAATTTGGTTGTGGATGGAGAACTTCCTATCATTTACCATTTTTCAATTCACCTTTTAGTAATTTTCTTTTTACTTGAGTGGACCTACATTTTCAAGTTGTTACCTGTATTTCATTAACTTACAGATGTATGCTAGATAAACTAGTAGACCAAATTGAAAGATCATGACAAATTATATTCGTATTAGTGAACATTGACCTCACAATGTATAACCTGCTGACTCAAAAAAGAAAAAAAAAATATACAACCTACCGAAGGAACTGATGATAATGGTAATGGCAATAACTCTAACAATTACAAGTGCAGCATTAATAACAAAAGTAGCAATGAGGCTGATGATGGTTACTGAGAAAGCCTGTGAAGAAAGAAAACAAAATGATAGAAAAGTGCAATTACTTTTTTCAGCAAGCCTAGAATTTGGTTCCAGTAGCATTTATGTGGAAATATTTCACCTCATACCATTGAGATGCCATTCGAGATGCTCAGGTACTTGAGTGCAAATGTGTACTTTTAATAATTATGCCATCTGCTTCCTTCTGTTCCACATCCTAAATCATTCAGTGATAACAGTCTCCAGGGAGTAGTTGATGAACAAATATATGCAGGTTATGCGAGTAAATTCATCTCATTTTTCATTTTGCTCCCCAATGTAAGTTTGTGAGCCACTTTTGACAAAATATTTGTATTTCCTTTTATAGAATATTGAATACAATCTTTTTGATGAAATAGCTAAATCGTGTAGTTTTCTAATACTGATTCAAAGATGTGTATTCTAGCAGGAGTCATCTACTTGTCTGTCTATGTTTTCTTTCGCTAGAATAAGAATCTCATCAATGTTAAAACCAGCTGGGCCTGCATATCCTACCCGATGACAGAAATTTTCAATTGGCACATCAAATATGTAAAAGTGAAAATCTGCGTTGAAGCTGAGAAGTAATATCATTTTGTCCTTTTCTTTGCAGTCCAAATGGAGCTTATAGCACTGGATTCAAACCCATAACCCATCAGGTGAACTGAAGGCACGTGCCATGAAATCTAGCTAGTTTTTTGAGTGATTTTCCACTATGTTGGATAATCTTCTACTGTTCCAAAAAGTCAGAGATGCCCCATTCTTTTAAATGCCGTTTAGACTTGAAAATACGTGGAGCCATTCATTGAACCTTTTTTGTTAAATGTTGCATGAACTGCTCATTTGATAATTTGGTCTAAGCCTTTTTTATTGATTTTTTTTTTAACAGCTTATAAAATTATTATTTTTAACAAAAATGTTTGCCACCTAGACTAGATTTGATGATAGACATCATGCAGTAGAGCTTTAGGCAGTCAAGATTGAGCCAAGTGCTATGTTGTTTGAACATGTTTTTATTTGCAAACAAAAATTAAAATTGCTGTTAAGCTTGTCTTGTTTACTTGTCTTGTCTAATTGTTAACAAGCATTTGTCCAACTGGCCTTTAGCAGGGTTCTTGAAGCTTGCTTCTTCTGTATATGTCTCTATAACTGCAAATGCACTATCAGTATAGAATTTATACTTATATTTTTTTTTTTGGTGTTGAGGGGATGTGAATTTGAGCTTGAAAGTTAACAAATACTAACACACCTTCAAGCTTGATTTCACTAGCTGAAAAAACTATGTACAATGAGCTTCCCCTGAGTTGATGGAGTTGGATTTCAAGTTCCTTGATCTGTATTTGAATCCTATCAAGGAGATGAAGCATGCCAAAAAAGAAAAAGTCATTAAAATGTGGACATTGAAGGAAAAAGCTGAAAAAGTTGCTAACTCTTGGTCATGATTATTTTGCGTCTGGTGCTAAAGCAACCTGTGTGTGTTAATTATGTTATTTGATACCAGCTCACTTGTGTAGCTATAACTTTTGAAATGTGTAGCTATAACTTTTGAAAATTGTGTTGACCTGCCCCTAGGTTTCTCCATATTAGAAGGGACCAAATTCTAGTTTTTGGAAGTACCTTCACGTACACTATCAATATTTTAAGTTAGAGAGCTATATTGATATTTTAGAAGCTATGTTTCATTTAATAACTGATGTAGAAGGGAAAATTGTTTAAAACGTCCCTCACCTTTTCCAAATGAATTTTTTGTCCTTTACTTTTTAAATAGTAACTTTACGTCCCTTATAAAGTCAAGTCGGTAAAACTTAGTCCCAACCTGGGTTTTCAACCGCTTTTTAGCTCGAAATCGCCATGTGACTCACATGCTGTCATTTTTATGTACAAAAAGGTTAGATCCCACATTTTTAGTGGCAAAAATGAATATGGATTGGGTATGATCCCATTTTTTAGGAAGAAATGAAAATGGTTTGGGTCATATCCAACTTTTTTAGGGGCAAAAATGCATATCGATCAGGTCATTTTTCTTAACTATAAATGAAATCTAATCTTTTTGGCACTAAAAAATGACCATTTGTAGTTATATGATGGATTCAGAATAAAAAGTGTTCGAAAACCTAGGTTGAGACCAAATTTTACCGACTTGATTTTGTAAGGGACGTAAAGTTACCATTTTAAAAGTGAAGGATGAAAAAATTCATTTGGAAAAATGTGAGATGTTTTGAATGATTTCACAATGCAGAATTTTGCGAATATGAACAAGGGTGTTTGCCTATTTCTAGAAATCGATATTTTCTGGGCTTTATTTGTGTTTCTATGTTTTGTCAGATTTTTCAAAAAGTATTAGAATTCCATCTTGGTTTAATAGGAGTTTATGCATTCCATCCGGGCACGAAGACGATACTGGGCAAGGAGCTATGCCGGATGGAGAAAGTTCACCGCTGCACAACCTGGTGCAGCTCATATTTCTCTGGCATCTCTTGAGAAAGCAGGACGGATAAATTTTATGATTACACAAAATGTAGACAGGTACACTGCTTTAGTTATTGGTGTTTTATTGCCTTAGAACTTGTGCATTTTTTTTTGGTATAGAACCTAGAGGAGCAGCTAACCCTATAAATTCCTTATATCAGGCTGCATCATCGTGCTGGAAGTAATCCCCTGGAATTACATGGAACCGTATATAATGTTAATTGTACAAATTGTGGTTTTTCACTCTCTCGAAGTGTATTTCAAGATCAAGTAAAAGCCCATAATAAAAAGGTTAGTTTTTCTAACTGCATGAGTAAATGATCTTGCATACTGTTGTATGTTATTTTCAGCTCTGATCTTCTTGTACAAATATGCCTGGGAATTAATCTGATTTATCACATATTTTTATTTTTTTGTCAATTGAGCTATCACACATTAATAGCTGCATTGTTTTTCCATTTTTGAAGTTGATAAAAGGGATTGATCATGTTAAAAATTGGCACATCAGAAATCTGTATTTGATGGGCTGTTGGTGTAAGGATCTGTCTCATTTGCTTAGGCTGGAAATAATTTATTTCATATTGATGACCAAGAAGGGGATATGGAAAAATAATGCCCCCAAATATCCCTTAGTTTAATCTGAAATATTGATTTCATTTGGTACATTGTCTGTCTCTAGAAGACACCCATTGCTTGTTCTGGTGTCCTGCCTGGACATCTACGTATGAAGGATACCACTTAGTTACCTTGAGTATGAATTTCGGCACTTTGTGGTAGATCTGTCTCTTTTACTTTGGTTGGGAAGAATTTATTCAGATGACGTCCAAGAAACCTGAAAATATTGGTTTGCATTGAAATATTATACTTTGGTGGTACATTTTCTATCTATTGAATACATTAATTACTTGTTTAGGTGGGGACTGGGATGTGTGCATATGATGGAGAACAGCTAGTTACCTTTACAAGTAGAATATTCAGTCTATTGTGAGAATTGTTTTTATAAGATCTGTATACCTGGTTGAGTTGCCACTAGGTATTGTCATAAGAATATTTCTTGTATAGTCTTAACCTGAAGATTTTTAAATTTGTAAAGAACCTCTCTATAAAGATTAGGATGAATTCTGCCCACAATGGATATGCGAATACTTCATGACTTTGTTTTATGTCATTAATGCCTTAATGAAGCAAAAATACAAAAGAATGGCTTTTTGGCTCTTATGTCACTGCTGATAGCTAATCTTGGACATTCATGAATTTCTTTCAGCAAGAGTGCCTTTGATCAAATAAATTAACCCCATCAGTTTCTTCTTACTTCCAAACCCTGTCCTCACAATTCCCATTCAAGAAGTTCGTTTTGGCATGAGTGTTACATGATCAATTTAAGTTACTCAATCAATTTCTTCCTGTTACTATCCCCTGGCTCTATCAATTCCTGCTTTGCATTATAGTGCCAAGCTATAACTTACAGGAGCCCTTGCTGAGGCCAGAATGTGTTGAAGGTTAAACTCGTTCGTCTTGGCCAAAGTTACATAGTAGTGAAGTTTTGTCTTTCTCCCATGGAACTGCTATTTATAGGCATGTCCAACTATGTGTCTGCTTTCCGAAATTTGCATCATTGTATTTGTGTTTTAAGTTTTTGAGGTTTTGAGGTCTAAACTGTCAGTTTTATTTATTTGTATCAAGCTGTCTCTACATTGATTATTTATCTTTTTTCTCATTTCTTTGAGGTGGTTTGACTTGAAATGCTCAATTAACCTAACAATTGTGCATATGTATGACGTACTTTCCTGTTCTATGAGAACTACTTCTCAATCAATATGTTGCGCTATTTGCCAGTGGGCAGCTGCAATTGAAAGTTTAGACTATGACAGTGTCTCCGACAAGAGCTTTGGTATGAAGATTAGGCCAGATGGAGACGTTGAAATTGATGAGAAATTCTGGGAGGAGGAATTTCATATTCCTAGTTGTCAGAGATGTGATGGAATTTTAAAACCTGACGTAAGCCATTTCCTCATTTACATGATGTTAGTGGGATTGTTATTTTTCCTGGATTGAGAGTATCACTGGGTTCATGCAAGTCACCTAAAAATAATAATAGGTAGCAAATAAAAATTTGCACTTGCAGTTGACATTTTAATGTTTTAGCTCTTGATTTACCTAAAGGTCGAAAAAGATTCTTCCAAAGAGATATATATCCTTTCTTTACACTATATCAGTGCTTACTGAAAACAAGTGGAAAAATAAAAAGTAAAAAATTAAATAGGAAGAAGTCTTTTGAAATTGGATCTAGCACATGAGTTTAATGAAAAACATGATAACTAAAAGTTTTTCCGCATTCATCTTTTATTTTATTAGATAAATGCCTATAAGTATTTTGCCTTTTCGCCGCAGCAAAATACATTTCCACTTGTATTCCTTGAAATAATCTGTGAAAGTACTGAAGTTGTCATTTGGACAACAAAGAATTCTTAGATTATTATGTTTCTCTTTCAACTAATGATGAGCTCTTATTGTACAGATATAGAAATGGGAGTACAGAAATTTGTTTTCGGTAGGTGGAGAGTACAGAAATTGTCTTTGTAAACTAAATTGTATTCGAGCCTAAACATTTGATTTTATTAAATAGAAAGTTCCATTCAACTGGTAAATTAATTAGTTTCACAAAGACTGGATGCCAGATTACTGGATGAATTCCTTTTTCCTTTCTCTTGATAAATATTTGCTATTAGCTTCAACTGTTTTCACATTTTAATTGGTATATATTGGTAGCAAGGACAATACATGTTGATTAACCTATTAACCTTACATGCTCCTTCTTGCACTTGCATCATTAAGGTTGAGATGCAATTGGAAAGGATCTCACATTGTCATTTCTTCCTCTTTCTTTTTATCTTTAGAGTAGCACATTTCTCGGTAAGAGGCATCATTAAAATGGCCCCCATGTATTTTATTGCGAGTCTGTGAATCTCTACTGCAAAGATAAAATCGGGAATTATTTTGGATAGCTTATATTCCAACAGTTCCACAAAGAGGAAAGCTATTTCTCAAGGTTCTTTCTACTGCTTCAATTGCACTTCTTTTCCTTCGTGTGCCAAATTCTGACAGGATACTGAACAGAGGCATCTTTGAAGCCTCCAGCTCAATAAATTACCATTTTCTATCCTCATAAGTGCATCAGAACACAGTGCTATTTATAAGTAAAGTTTACAACAAAGATTTACCTATTTTTTTGAAATGGTAAAAACTTCTACATTGTGAAGCAATGCAAAAAGATTTGTCTGTCAACTTGCTCAGGTTCCTGCAAGTTTCATGCAGAATAGAGGCTGGTATGCTATTTGTCAATTCAAATTTGAATGTAAGAAGCTGCGCATTCTGTTAAATTGGCATGTAAAAAGAAACCTTTTATTCTCTCTCTCTCTCTCTCTCTCAACACGTTATTTAAAGGAAGTGGAGATTTGGATTCAGCAACAAAGGAAAACATTGTGTGGCAGGAGCACTTAGGTTTTGTCATTGATAGAATAGTTAGATGTAGGCCAGGTAAGCCACACTTTCCAGAATTCAGTCCACTGGATTGACATAATCTCCTATCGTGTATCAATGTGGCTGTTAAATCTCTCAAATACCATAATAATCACAATGGACACGCCAAAAGAATAAAACAGAATGTTTTCATGAGGTTAAAAATCTACAAAACCAAAAAAAATAAAACAGAATGTTTTCATGAAGTTAAAAGTCTACAAAATGGACAGTATATAGTTTCCAGATGTATCAAATGGTTCCCCAGTTTGCTAAAACAATGTTGAGCTAGATTTTTGGTAAATCTTGAGTGTATAATACTTCAGATGCATACAGTACTTTGTTTACAAATTTATCGGTCTACTTGACATTACCGGGACTTGCTGGTTTATAATTTTAACTTTGCCTTGTATGTTTCATTCTACTTCTTTGGATGAATTATTTTTGTTTTTCCTTGATTTCATTTGGCGATGATGTTTTATCTCAATTAAATGCTTGTCTTATCTATTCTTTTCTTTTAGCTACTTTGCATAGCCATCTTTTATTGGTTGACATATACTGGAACTAGAATGTCTATATTCATCTTAATGTCTAATGTATTTAACTTTCTGCAGGTTGTCTTCTTTGGTGATAATGTCCCAAAGGACAGAGCTGACACAGCCATGGAAGCTGCAAAGAGATGTGATGCTTTTCTTGTGCTTGGCTCATCTTTGATGACTATGTCTGCTTTCCGTCTTATTAGGTGAGAATTGTTTAATCTTACTATTCTATTTTTTTTGTTATTGAAAAAACAAAGAGGGGGATGGAGGCAAGATGATCATGTTCAGCAAGTTTTTTGCAGTAACCACTTATTTAAGTGGGTCATTATAGGACACAAAGAAAACTTATCAATATTGTGGCTGACAAATATTTGGAGGATTTGAAATAAAATATGCAATTCAATGAATTATAATTACGTGTTAATCGATTAACCTGCTATGCAAATTGAGATAAAAGTGGTTCTCACCTTTGACTTAGCTCGACCAAGGTAAGGGAATTTTTCTGTTTACACAAGCTGAACTAGTTTATATTCTTCCTTGTAACATGCTTGCATTAGATGATATTCCTTGTAACATGCTTGCATTAGATGATCTTTTGTTCTTTAAACATGTTTGTGAGTTGATTGCTGCTTGTGAGTATAATTGCATTCTTGGTCCATATTTTAGCTTTAAGATGAATAGCCAAATAACTTCAAACATCGAGAAGTCCACTGAACAGATTTCAGCCAGGTAGGACCTAGAGATTTATGAGCAACCATGCATCAGTTTGGGTGCTAGAAATCAGCAGCCAGATGTCAGTTTGTGTGGTAAAAATTGTCTCAAGTGATGTCTTAGCTGCAGCTCAATACTACAATCCATGTCTTAGGGATAGAGCTTCAAGTATGTTGCTGCTATTTGTCTTAGTAGAAAGCGCACAACAACTCCCCTGCCTCATCCTTTGACCCTGCTTACTGGCCAGGATAAGAATAAATTCCTTTCAAGGAAAGGGTGGAAGTGAATGCTTTCCTAAGATGTCTTTTACCCAGTTGCTGGCCTATTTACCCAGAAAGAAAAAAGATTAGAAAGAGAAAAAAATATTTCTTATAGAGACCCCTCTCACAGCAAGAAATCTATCTTAGTGCCTTTCCAGGTACTATACAGGCTTTCAGACTCAATATCTTCACTCTTCAGCTTCGTCTTGCTTGTGTGGTTTTCCCCATATAAGACCCTGAACACATGGATTCCTCTAAGACTCCAACAGGCTAAGCAGTGGATGAAGCGGCTTACCTCAAGATTGATACATATTAATTGCAAAGAGCTATGTATTAGGTTGATACTGATAGCTATACATATTCAAAAACAAATTTAAGATAACGAGAATGCTATATCCTGATTATGTAAAGAAATGTACCTTCCCTGGTAAACAATATTCAATATTAAATAGTTGCTTAGCTCTTAAAATTTCAATGGAAAGACCCTTTTTTTATCCACTCTCCCAGAGAAAAATTTTGAAGTAAAGCAAAGCAACTCCCACTCGGGAAGTCTCATATTAAGCAAACGCTCATCCCTTATTCAGCTTCTACATGGTTTAAGGCAATACATTTCAACTTCAGTGATGAAACTATCTAGTTCTCTTGGGAGTTCCCTTCTGTTGCTAATGCCCATGTAACATTGGAGTTTGTGTAAGAGAGTTTTGAGGGATATATAGTTTAAATGCTAGTTGCCATTGATCTTCTTGGATGAAAAAGGGCATCTCTCCCTGCAGGCAGTGAAACTCAAGTCTTATTATGTCTGGGCATTGATTTATTCCTGTATAGAATCTCTCCAGCAAGAATGATCGAAGGCTTCAGCAACTAGGATTATATCATAAAAGAGAAGCTTTTAGTCCAAAGGAAGGTGTCAATAGCAGTTAATGTGCCCTCTCATGGCTTCAATGTTTGTTGTTGGTGATTTTGTGATTTGAACCAAAGCTAAAGTAGGTCTCTGTATCAGTTTCATGAGGGCTTTTCATGTAATTGATATATTGCGAGAAACTATGAGTCAAATCTGGCGTCCTACGCTTTCTAGCATCTCATTTTCTTGGCTGTTAAGTTTGCTTAGGGAAGTTCACTTACTCTATTTGGTGTCCCAGGTCCAAGCCTTGCCATCTTTCTAAGTATGATTTAGGTGAAGCTTGGAATGTTCTGATGCAGACAGAAGCCTGAGAAGACTAGGGAAAGCTTTGGTGCATGACCAGCTTATGGGCTTGAAAGCAAAATGGTGAAAGACATTGTCCTGGTTAGGTAAATTAGCCCGCTTATGGGCTTGAAAGCAAAATGGTGAAAGACATTGTTCTGGTTAGGTAAATTAGCCCAACGCCTGGATACTTACATGAAAAACATGTAGAACGGACGATATTCTTTAAGTTTTAAAAGCTGATGTGCAACGCGAGCAAAACCTGATTATATATTGACTTGCAGCTATAAAATAAAAGTCTAATATAAGTAAATTCTCATCCTAATGCTTAGAATCCTAATCAGTGCCTTGTCCAATGGAAGTTATGCTGGTCCAGAATGACTGAAAAATTATTGTGGAGACTTGTTTGGAGTTGGTAATTCTTTTTCTTTCTTTTCCTACTTTTCCTTCTCCTATCCACAGTTTGTCCTACTTTCTGGAGCCAAGTATCTGATATCCTTTTTTATCCACATTTCCTTGGTACTGCATCAGATGGAAAAGTGGACTAAATTTGTGCTTTGAAATTTGTCCTGTATGTGCCTAAATTTGCTATCATGCTTGTGTATGCTGCAACTGGGGTGTTGGACTTGAGCTCAAGTCCTAGAGTATCTGAAGTATAATTGCATTTGGTATGTGTTTTGGCTTGAAAGATACCCATTTCAAGACTGGCAGATCCTTTCCTAATAAGGTTTGGTTTGTTAGTTATGCCCCTATCTTTTGGTCTGGTCTTCATCAACCTTTTTGTATTGTTTATTTGTCGACTTGATTATAGGTCTTTGTTTTTTGGCAGCTTCTGCAGCAGTTACTAATAGATTTCACCTCCTTTTTGTTTGCCACATGAGATGTCTGATATGTTCTCTTTGATCTTGCATTTTTTGGATTTAGTAATTCATTTGGAGGGAATCCATTCTCAGTTTAGACATTGTTCTCATTGAATCTCTATAATTCCATACAATAAGCCAAATATGAACTCAAGATTTTCGTCTGTTCCTGCCATGCTGTGGTATAGATCTTCATTATGAAGTCCTAAAACCCAAACTTATGAACATTAAATTTAAACTGGTGCTTATAAGGGTCTCTGTTTTCTGGTTCAGTTTCTTTTTCTTTTTTCTAATTGGCGTTACGATGTCTTTTTGAACTTGCTAAGAGTATCATTTTCAATTAGATTTTATGCACGGGTGTTTATTATTTGAATAAAGAGGTCATGTATTAAAAGACGGTTATGGGACAGTTTCCACAAAGATCTCTTTTCAATAAGGGATGTATAAAAATTATTTTTTGGTCTTATTTGTTAGGGCTGCTCATGAAGCTGGTGCTGCTACTGCAATTGTAAACCTTGGCGAGACACGAGCTGATAAATTTGTGCCTTTAAAAATCAATGCTCGACTTGGTGAGGTACGGTTTCAGTTAAATCACATTTTTCTGAACACAGTCTCATATGGCATTAAACCTTTTCTGATGTTGATGCATCTATCTTGCAGATACTGCCAAGATTGCTTAACACTGGATCCCTTAGTGTCCCTGTTCCTTATTCATAGTACCTTGAAGCTCAAGAGATGGTTTCAAAACTTGACTCAATTCATCGCGGATGCAATTGCCATTGCAAGCACCTTGTAAGCCTCTGTTGTAAATGAAATATTGTTTAGATGATGGTTTTGTATCCAGCAAAGTAAAATTGATTAAAACCATTTCTTTGTCCCTGCCTAAAGTGCCACTAGATGTTGGATGGAGTCTCGTTTAGTTCTTATGCTGCATTTTCTAAGTTGTATGCTAGATATTAATCCATATATGTTGTAATTCTTACCTGCATCGGTCTTAAGGAGCCCTTGGTATCTGATCAGACTCCTCTCTACTTGCTTATGTTGATGTGGTGGTGCAGTACAATTTCGGATTAATTCCATAGAAAGATTTTGTTTGTGCCAAATTTACAGGGGCCTTGATACAGCATTGGACTTTGTTTGCTCCAAATTGAGTTACTTGAGTTGGATAGAAGAATTTGGATTTAGGGCTAAATTTCAAAGGAATGGATTTCAAATCTGTAATTACGAAATTAAGTTGCTTGGGGCATCAAAAAGGTTTGAAGAAGGGATTTGAAACCCATAACTTAAACCAAAAAAAAAACCAAAAAAAAAATAAATAATAAATGTTGTTTAATTTCTCTATCTGTATTAGATGCTCAAATTTTAGATTCAAAAATTGAAACAGCAATTATCTTGAGGGCTTGACAATGACAGGGAGGATATAATCACCTTTTGGTGTGTCTGTGTGTGTGTGTGTGTCAATATATATATATATATATATATATATATATATATATATATATATATATATATATATTAAGGTTATTGCCTACTACAATGTATTCACACTAATAAATTTCTACTATGTATTCACACCAAAAACCAAAATATTTTAAAATCTAATACTAAATTGATCTTAAATTTGAGAGATTGATTGAGCTTTAAACCAATACAAAAAGGGTTAAACTGCTTAAGTTTGTTGTAAGTTTGCTCTAAATTTTTTTTTTCCCACCTACACATATATGACTTAACCATGTGTGGGTCCAAAACTAACTAAAAATATCCATATAGAAAAACTTGTCCAAAGAAACCAAGTTAAAGATCAAGTAATTGTCATTTGAGGACAATGGTAAAGTTGCTAATAAAAAACTATTGAACACCAAACTGTCATTAAATTTGAAGAAGGAATGGACACTTGCCAATCATACAAACCATCAAGAGCTTTTGCTCTACATTTAGTTAGATAATTGAAATTAGGGGTAATTACAATTCATCCCTTAAGATGTAACCTGATTTCACTTTACTCCCTAATCTTTCTTTTTTGTCACTTCACCACCTGAGGGATAAAACTACTCTATCATGCTAGGTTTTTATTTTTTTTCTATTTTCTTCTTTCTTTTCCCAAATAATCATTACCAATGGTGCAATTTTGAGCACTCCAATTATGGTGGTATAGTATCACATGAGAGAAGTAGTTTTATCAGGGAATATACTAATATTTAATTACTTTAGGATAAATGGTAAAGAAAATATTATGACAAGCAAAAATCTATTTGAGGAAAAGAGAATAAAAGGATGTTAAATTAATCACATGTGAAGGTGATTGCAAAAATATGAGTAACCTATTTTGAATTGTATAATTATAAGGATATGTAATAAACATTTTTGCCTTTAATTTCTTAGATTGAAAAAATTGATGAAACTAATTAGCATGTAATTTTTTGTAATTGACAAATTATATGGAAGAGAGACAAACTAATATAGATACTATACAAATATATATATAGGCACACACACACACACATACCTACATATACAATAGTAGAACATATATGTGTGTGTGTGTATAAAATAGTAGAACATAAAATCAATTAGAATTTCATTCTTTGGGCCAATACAAATTTTAGAAAATAAAACTACTGGATAGAGAAATTCTTTTATTAGCTCAAAAATAGGAATTTGAAAAAAGAAAAATAATTTAAATAGAAACGAAAAGAGATAAGTAAAAAAGAGATAAGTAAAAAGAAAAACAAATTTCAACATAATAGAAGGGTAGTTGACAATAAAAAAGGGCTAGGGGTAAACTAAAAATTAAAATATATGTTAAGAAATAAATTGTAAATATTCATTAAAATTAAACTATCCGGTCAAAGTAACCAAACCAAAACCAACAAATTGTCAATGGGCACAATGGCATGATTACAAATATAAAGCAGTGGAACTCCAGAATCCTCATTAAATATGGGAGCAAATGAGCATGTGTCAGCCACATGAACTCTCCAAAGTATTAGCGTGACCACTAATACATACATACATATGTCCAACTACTATCTAAAAATGTAAGACTACCTTCACCAAAAAATGTCACGTGAACAACTTAAACTGACTTGGCATTCTTTGATTGATTTGTTGTTTTAACACTACTTTCACTAATAATTGTCTTCTGTAATTGACCACTTGACATGTATGTTTTGGTATATGTTTAACCATGGAGGGTTGGGTTGGGTTGGGTGGTACGGGGGAGGGAGTGTAAATGAGAGATCTCGAGTTCGAGTCCTCCTGCTTACAAAAAAAAAAAAAAAAAACCATGGAGGGTTGGTTTAAGAATATGAGTGCTTGGTTGAAATCAGTGATGCATATGGTACAAATACATCCAGCTTTCAGTAATTCTCTATGGACACATTTAACCCTTACATTAATTTACGACTCATTTAACCGTTTCAATTTCAATTAAATGAGCCAGAAAATTGGGAAGGCACTCAGACAGCTATCTCACTCTTACAATATGAGTTGAAGCCTTAATTGCCTGCAATCTTCAATTTGGGTCTTTTTGATTTCTTCGGTTTCAGATTCTTTTGTTGTTCCTTAGTGTTTGGTTTTAGATGAAAAGCATAACCTCGATAAGGCCTTGGAAACTTTTAGGCACGGGTTTCTTTCTTGGAGAAAAAGTGCTCACAACTAGTATTAATCAATTGATGCTCACAGTGCTCTTTGGTAAGGGAATTTTCTATTTGTTTTAGTTGTTTTATTTGCATCCACAACACAAAATAAATGTTGCATGGATAGAAAATCACCAATAATTTGATTAATTTTTCCCTTTTATTGCATTTGGATAGAAGGGTATAACAATATGGAAGGGAACATTGCCCTATAATATTATGATCTATTACCCTATCACTTTAATGTCATATATGAATGGCCTACATTTTGACTTGAGCTAACTTGAATTTGCTTCTCTAAATACATGTTCCACTCAAAGTTTAACTACCATAGACTGGCTTTTTTTTTTTTTTTTTTTTAACTTTGCTTGGTTTGCTGTTGATGATTGAATGGTAGTTTATTTCTCATCTATTAGAAATATAACTAAAAGTTTAAAAACACAACTCATTCCATAACCAATTTCAAAACTACAAATACGTCATCCTTCGGTGGCCACTGGCTGTGCTAGTCCATACTAGTACATAGATACATACACACGCACAAAGATACATATACATACATACATACACATATACATATATATATGTGAATAGGGTATAAACAATGTCTGTTATTGGATGCCAGTACTTTTAATTATTCTAATAAACTAAGATCAATTGAAACGTCTATACATATATATAGAAAGCACTTTCGTGGGTAGTCAGTCTTTCACAAATTTCATCTGCCTCATCCAAGGGTAGTTTAATAATTTGGAGCGCTGGCAGCACACTATTTTTTTGGTTGGTGCAATGGCTGGCTGCATTCTTGCTTGTTCATTTATTTTTTTGGCCATTAGCTATTGTTTGGAAGATTCCAATTGTAACCTCCATGTTTGTTGCTTACTTCAAGAATGGTTTAAATTGCAATAGTTACAAATTAATGTTGCCCGAATAGCTGTTATGTTGTAACCGGCTATTTGTTCCTCCTTCATCTTAGTCTTCTTTTATTTTATCTAGTTTTTCCTCTTCTTACTCTATGTTTCTTCTTATTGAAGGTCTGCAATTCTTTCTTGTCCTCTTTCTTATTTGTATCCTTTATGTTCTTGATTCATAATAATTTTTGCTTTAGTGATGTGACATCGTAAGTAGTAATTTACAGAGACATAATATTATCTTTTAGTTCATTTAATCTTTTTGTTAAATTAGTTTACTATATGTTTTGATTCAGAATAAAATGTTTGATGTTTATTTTTCTTGTGATGTTGTCAATGACAGTTGCACTAAAAAAAAAATCAATAATTAGGGTATGTGATTTATTATTTGTTAGAAATCCAAAGCCTTTGAATTGCTTCTATATATTTTATAAATTATTAAAGGCTCAAGTTTCATATTCTTTTAATAGAAGATGTTTTCCTACTATTGTAATATAATAGGTAGTGTTTGATAGTTTATTATTGGTTCTGATTGAAAACATTTGATGTTGACTTTGTTCTTGTATTTTTTTTTTTTTTTTTTTGTGGAGCTGATAGCAATTGGCATTGGTCTAAGATGAAAATTACCTTATTTACTGGACTCGTATATATGAGTAGATTTTTATTTGATAAATTATACTTTACTCTTACATCTTTAGCTCCTTGTTAAGATCTTATATTGCTTCAATTTCTCTTATTTTAATATAAGTGGATTGATTATGACTTTCTGCTTTTATTGATAGGGTTGGGATAAAACATTACAAAAGAATAACATTTGCAAGATCAATTCGCCTCATATTCAGTTAGAATTTCATATATGATAGCAAATAGAATTTCTTTGTAGCATGTACTGAAATTTCATAATCCTTTAGTAACAAAGGAAAGTACTGCAAAATATGGTTTGATTTTGTTTCTAATCATTATAATTGCAATGACGAAACTGATTCAATTTTTTTTGTCAATTTTGTGACTGAAAATTCCTACTGACTTATGATTATTATGTGATTAAATGGCCATTTGGTTACTTTTTTCTCCACTAAACAAATTAATGTGTTTGATTCTATTTGTGCATTTAAAAATCACTATACTTTCTCACTTTCTTACCAATATTGATAGTATTTTTTACTTACTTAATCTTATGATGCTTAACAAATTATAACACAGGTACTCATTCCTGCGCATTGCCAGGCTTCTCCCCTAGTCTTTTTTATTTATAGCTCATTGATTGCGAGATTAAGTTGGTATAGGTATATAATCTTATATACATTGTATATGTAATTACATATAAAGAGCATCTTAAGTGTTCAAAGGATAATTAAACCATATTAAAATATGATTTTTGAATAAAATAAGTAATCGAATATAGTAAAAGGAAAAACACAAACAAATTGAAAAAGTAGCACAAAATAAGTATCTCCAAGGTTGAAAAGGTGACCATAAAATGGGCAAGAACTTTTTTAAACAAATCAAGCAAAAGTGCCTATATATAGATTTAACGCCAAAGTCAAAAGAGTATAAAGAATAAAGCAGATGAACACTATAGATGGGAAATTGCTTCTCATAGATTTAAGGATAATACAAAAGTGAAAAAAGGAACACTAATAGTGAAATACGTCAAGCTATATTTGGAATTGCATGGATAGGTGTAGAAAACCCTATTAGTAGGTCAAAGAGGTACTTGGAAGCACCATAATATTATATCTTCTTTTGTTATAAGACAAAATTCCTATGCACGAAATTAATTTGCTATCATTGCATTACTCTAGTAGAAAAAAATTATTTTTTCAGAGAAGTGCTCAGTGCCAATTTTTTCATTTTGTCAAACAATAGTTATTTTTTTGGAGAAGTGCTTAGTGCCAATTTTTTTTTTATTTTGTCAAACAATAGAGTTCCCATAAAAGCAAGAAAACTTACTGAGCACCGTGGTGAATTTTATTATAGTGTGCAAAAGAAAAATTTATCATGGAAAATTTATTATTTGACGAAAAAAGAAAAATGAAATTGGGCAATTTTCTCAAAAATTCTTTTATTTCTTATTTTAAATAAAATTTTATTTAGGTATACTTTATCCTATATATGTATTCACTTCAAATTTTTAATTTCTTTTAACACCCGCAATAGCCTTTTCATTGGTCAATAATAATGTATTGTAAACTTGGTGAATAAAATCAATAATCCAATGAAAGGACAAAACTCAATCAATTTGAAAAAAAAAAAGAGCATAAAATCAGCATTTCCAATGTTGAAAAAGTAAATATAAAATGGGCAAGAATTTTCTAAACAAATTGAGGATATAAGTGCTTATAGATTTGATGACAAACTTAAAAGAGTATAATGAGGAAGACAGACGAATACCATAAACGGAAAGATACTTTTTATCGATTTAAGGATAATAAAAAAAGTCAAAAAGAAACACTGAAAGTGAAAAACATGAAGCTGCTTTTAGAATTGAATGGATAGGTGTAAAAACTCTAATAATAGGAGAAAGAGGCACCTAGAAAAACCATAGTATCTTTTTTTTGTCTTTTGTTGTAAAACAAAATTCCCATAGAATAACTTAAATTTGCTGTCATTGCATCCCTTTATTAAAAATGAAAAAAAAAAGAGTTTATTTATTTTTTAGAAACTTGCTTAGTGCCAATTTTTAGATTTTGTCAAACAATAGAGTTCTCACAAAAGCAAGAAAACTTGTTGAGCACTATGGTGAATTTTATTACAATGTGCACAAGATAAAATTACCTTATTCAATCATCAATCTCATTAGTACACATGGTAAACTTGTAAATTTGAGAGTATTGTATGTGTCCAAATTTTAAGGCAACTAATTCATTTCCAAAATATAGATGATTGACTTTGTTCTCAGCAGAAGGGACCATACTTATGCACATCCCAAGATATGGGACCAAACTTGCAGTTCTTTCTTGATATCCATTTTAAGGATCTATGGGTTTTGTATGAAAAAGCCAATTCTTAGTGCTGATTACATGAATGGGATGAATAATGACCCCATAAAGATGATAACATTTGTAGAATTGTCTTCACAAAAATATTATCTTTTTCCCTATTGAGTAAGCATCAACAGTGTCTTCAATCACAGATTATGCTGATGCAGTTTGTTTATAGAAGTTTTAAATTGGATCTTGCTGCTAACTTGCTACAAAGACAGCTATTGTTGAGGTTAGAACTACAATTTAAACAACCTCAAGATCGTTATTGCTTGGTATACATTTTAATTTCAAGAAAATTTCGACCATCTCCTCTTCCTATCAAATCACCCCAAAAAAAAAAAAAAATTCTGAACTTACAATTCGGTATGATGCAAAAATTCTTCTCTCAAAGATACTTCTATACTTTGAGGGCTTAAAAATTACAATTGCTGTTTTAAGGTAAGCATAATTATCAATGATGGAAGAGGGGATATGTTGCCTTTGGAAAGCTGATCTGCAATTTAATCTTTACATAGTGATTTTGGTCGGTGCTTTTGGGAAGCTGATCTACAAGCTAGCATACATTTAATTGTAGTTCTCATGATTTCTCGTTTCCTACATCTTAAGCTGTGGCTTTGAAGCCAAGTTCCTCGTCTTAATTTTTGTTTCGGTTAACAAAAACTAGTAGAAATTCATGCCAAACCCCTTACTTTTACCAAGTGGAATTCAATCATACACACACATAGAGAGAGGGGACAAAAAAAAAAAAAGTAGTTATGGTACAGATTAAAAGATTAATTGTAATTTACATTTGAGAGAGGCTGTAGCTCGAATCCTATGAAGTTGTATGAAACAAATTTTATAGCATGCAAAAAAAAAAAAAAAAAAAAAGTCCAGTGCTATGAAGTTGTCTAGAGACATATCCAAAATAGGCTATAAAATATCAAAATGGATTTTTCTAGAGCTACAAAAAATTTCGTCATAATAAAATTCGTAGATATTTACCGTAATTTCCCGTGAAATATTTTCACTATTTCTAACTTTTCTGAATGTCAACAGGCCACTCAAATTCAATTTTACTTGCACCAAACATGAAACACTAGCAACAATGGTTCCAACTTACAATTTCAAAATTGGAAGATTGTTCGAGGTTTACAATGCTCTTTTTGTTAATTTGTTGTACTTGTTGATTTCCAAATCTATTTTGTATTGTTTGCCATTTAATTATTTTCTGCCATTAGTACAATTTTATGCAATGAAATCATATATTGTTTCTATTAGGAAGAGAGAGAGAGAGAGTTTTTGCATGAACCTGGTCCTTAGTCGTCACAAATCTTTGCTCAACAAAGCATAACCTTTTTCAAATAATTTTGTTTACCACTTACTTTCCCATTATACTAACGTTCAGTGACCTCTCTCCGTACATGCCCACATAAGGTTGCTTTCTGATTCCAACCACATCTTATGGTTAATACAAATTCCAAGAGAAGTGGCATGAATTTTGCCAGGCAAATTCGTGGTTTAGTTTGTTCTTGTAGACCAATATACTATACTTTAAAAGCTTTGTACTTTTCTAAAAGGAACCAATAGTAATACAGATAGCACATTTACTTGGGGAACTGGTCTACAAGAGCAAGTCCATCTCAAAATTTTATACGTTATAAATCAGCAATGAGGTAGCAGTAATCATATGTTTTAGCCTCAAAAAGAAAAGATGAACTGGATTATGAAGCTATCAGAAATGATAAATAAGAAACTTTTCCAGCAAATTTAGTAATAAAATCTTCTTTGTTATAAAAGAAAAGGAAAAAAAAGAGAGTATCAACCTTTTCAAGTTATTTGTGTATCAGTTTCCCTTTTTATTGCAAGTTCAAATTTTAAGAACATTCCTTATGGTTGCATTGACATCATTTCATGAAGCAAGACACATTCCAACAGTTGGATGAATTGACAAAGTCAGCAATGATGAGAAGGGAACTGGATGTATAAAACTATCAGATATGATAATTGACAAGTCTTTTCCCACCTGCTTCTTACATATTAAGGAGACATAAACACCAATCAAGCATACAACCAAGACGAAATAGGGAGATGTAAAACACTCAATCTTTTGTACCTAAGGAAGGATATGCAAGCCATGTGAATCCCTTCTTGTTTCTTGTAGATACAAATTTCATCAAACCTTACACATATGGTAAACAGTGAGCCACACAGATAACCAAACACATCATTGGTAGCTTAAACCAAACAAAATGCCTATAGGAGTCAAATACTTTATGGACCAAAAGAACAGCACCTGAGTTCTCCAAAGATGGAAAAGTCCATGCTGATAAGTCCAGAGCAAATGCTGGAGAGAAGACAAGCTCACATTTTAATCCTTTTCACATCAGTTTCAGGGACATTTACATCACTCCCATTGCCACTTAGTAATGTGCTTGTCTGACTCTGCATCCAAGGAAAACGAAATTGAAGATGAATCAAAATGACATAAAATAGACCCTCAATTACATCGTTGCAACTTCTGCATATGTTTTCAAAAAAAAAAAAAAAAATGAAAGAATGCTCTTCCTTTTCGGTATCCGTTACAATCAAGTTTTTGTTCTTCCACCAGATTATCAATTTAAAAATTTTCTAATATACTATTTTTCCTCGAAGGATCATGTATACAGTTTTCCTATCTAAGAGTCAACATCAAGACAAATGGATTAAACATCTTGAAACAATGAGTGTGGTCCTTTCCATTCTATACAATTTCTTGTAAAATATAAAACAATCTATGACAAAAATTTAATAGCAAAGACCTATGGTGTGGTTGAATTGATCGTGTCCCAGAAAGTTTTGAACTCCAATGGATTTCACCCCCCATACCAGGAATCTCTACAGAAGATGTTGAACTCATATATAGATCCAAAGAATTTCAAGCTACCTTCCACAGGTATATATCAACCCAATTTACTATTTGAAACTTCCAAGACACATAAACCCACGCACATAGCCATAAAAAGCCCCATCCACCCACTACCCGCTAGTACAGTTGCTTAATCACAGAGATATGCCACTTATAAATCCAAAAATTTATACATACACACCTACGGGCACGCGTACACAGACACCCTGCTGCAGAAAAATAGATGCATTAACCTACAGACACCTACAGCCACAAAAATCATTATGAGCACATGTAAATCACATATACCTAACACTTCACAGCGTTCACATAGCACAACCTCACTTCACCATACATCCATGCTCATCAACATTCTCACATAAAATCACCCAAGCCCACCAGAAAAAAGCAAACATTCACATCTCCACCAAAACACACAGCAACACATTATAGTTATGAGCATCCTCACATGCAAGAACACATGCACTTACAACTATATAACAATGCAAACATAACCTTTTCACCCGCAAAATGGTATATGAGGATCAGTATGTACCCATCCATGTACCTCCATCTCAAGAAATGCTTTTATTGGTGTGAAGACTATCAGACATCTTAACATGCATTGATCTCTCAATTTATTCTATCTAGAAGAAGAATTTTATCCTTCAAGCAACCTGTTTGTTTCATCAAAAGCATTATTAATGATGATCTAACATCCATTAGTTTGAAATCTCTCCCCAAATCTAAATCCACAAACTCAAACTCAAAGCCAAGCTTCAACAAACAAAAATCCTTCAACCAACAAGCCCCATTCCCACCCCAGAATACGACATAGTTGAGAAGTGGTAAAACGAAAATGCTAACATGACAATTTCAGCATTATAAAGAGAAGAACAACTTTTGCAGAATATACATACATTATCATCAGGGACAACTGCATATCTATCAGTGGGTGAGACCGACAATTTCTCTGCTCCAAAGAAACATGAAAGCAATTTTTAGAACATGAAACTACCATAATGTCTAAACCTAATAAAAACTAAAACCACAAGAACTCAAAAGCACACCTGAGGATGGATCAACTTTTGAGCTCTCTATCACTTGTCCACTGGATCCGTCGACACTCAAAGCCTCTATGATCTTGGGAACATTGCTTCAAGGTTCAAATTTAGCAGCATAAGCCAATGACAAATAGGAATTATTTTGCACATGGAGCTCTGTCCAGTAAATAGAATAAACTAACAAAGCTAGAAAGCATACAAAAGACAAGTGAATTGCCATGAGTAAAGTCCTTAAGTTGTAAGACCTCCTCACTCTTATATCATCCCCTCTACAAGCCATGCAAAAGAATGTTTTCCCCAAAACCATAAGACACACAAAATGGATGGTTTCCTGAAGCTTTGCACTCAGCAAGGAAGATAAAGCAAACAACCAGCAAGAGAGTACAAGCTTCTATTCTCTGTGAGGCAAATTACAATTATATTAGCTGTTTAGCTCGAAAGATTCACCTATAGCTTTAAAAGAATATGTCAGAGGAATGTTTACAGGAATAAGTGTCAATCCAGTTTTCCTTGAATTTTTTCATGGCACAGGTAACCAACCTCGATACATGATGTATAATGAAAATTCCTGATGTCCAAGCCAGCTTCATCTAGGCTTACGAAGCTCTGTGATAATGATCTGAAATCTATCAGAAACGTAATCTTAATTCACTTCAGGATTTTGTGTACACTTGTAATCAAATCCCCTTACCTCCCCACGCTCATAGCACACATTTAGAAACATCTATATGGGGTACTATATCATCAGGGGCTAAGCAAATGGGTTTGGTACTAGGAACAGTTCTGAGTGCTGCAATAACTTATCAGCTATCCTTATGGCGTCTTTCTACGTCTTAGGGAAGAAATAACTAGAACAGCCTCAAGTGATGCTAAACAAAGGTTCTTATGCCTTGTCTTTCTAAGTTTTAGGGGAAGAAATAACTAAAACAACCTCAAGTGAAGCTAAACAAACGTTCCACACCAAGCTACACTGGGAGTGCACATCACAATAAAACTAAATAATCAGAATTAGCAAAAGGAATCATGACATCTATATACAACCCAAATATGACATATTACACAACAATGAAAATAAAAAACAAACATAAAATCCCTGTAAGCTTGAGATAAGATTGATTATATTCTAGTTTGACCAATATGCTTCTTTCTTCTCCTTAGATTGAAAAACTTTTTCTCTCCAATTATTTTCACAATGACTTTATCTCGCTTTGTAGGGGTGTGAATCGAAATCGAAATCGGTAATTCGGAACTTTGATATCGGAATTTTGGTATCAGAATTTTCGACCGATTTCGATTTCGAATTCACCAATTCCTAATTCGGAATTCGGTAAATTCCGATTTCACCGAATTCATGAATATAAAAATTATTATTATTAGTATACAAATATTATATTACATATATATAAAAAAATATTATATATATGTGTGAAAACGAAATTGAAATCAAAATAGGAATTCCGATTTCACCGAATTCATGAATATAAAAATATTATTATAATATAAATGTTATATTATATATATATATATATGAAAAACAGATTTGAAATCGAAATAGGAATTCCGAATTCCGGTTTTGATTTCGATTTCTAATTGTACATTCGAAATCAGAATTTCCGATTTGAAAAATCTCATTACCGAATTCGACCTGAATTTGACCAATTCGAAATCAGATATTCCGATTTCCATTCCGAATTACCAAATTCGAAATTCCGAATTCAATTCGAATTCGGTCAGTAAATCAGAATTTTTCGATTTTGCACACCGCTATCGCTCTGTGTTTGATTTGATACCTGCACTAAAAAACTTACTTAAGAAGGATACGTACTTGATTAATATCAACATTATTCTGATAAAAAGCCTCTTCTTGTTTAATATTCTTATAGCAAGTGGTAATGATTCATAGAGTTTATACTGTTTCTGTTACATTTGTAACTCTTAATCAGGACTCTTAGCACCCTGTATATGTTACGATCTGTACCCAACTTTTCTATGTTCTCATCATTGACCAGTTAGATTCCTGGTTCTTGACACCTTTAAAGCCCCAAAAGGAAAGGAGGAAAAATGATATGTCTAGGACTCACTAGTTTCAAATTTTCAATCAGTAGCATTACCGGTCAGCAGACTCCCCATGCCCAAGTTGTCCATTTGTGCCTCTTCCCCAAGAAAAGACATTTTGCCTTTCAGTAACAGCAAGAGTGTGTCTCCAACCACAAGATATCTGAACTACTTTCTGTCATCCAAAGAAACATGAATATTCAAACAGAAAAGGAGCCGTCATTTGTGCAAGAGTAAATGGACATATAATCAATACCAGAGGTGTAAAAGTATTAAAAAGGAACGTGCCTGATCAAGTGGAAATCTAACTTGCACAGGAGAGCAATGATCTATGTTGTCACCTACACCAACTTGTCCAAACTGTGTAAATGTAGGAAACAAACAGGCGAAGTCAACAAACCATATACCTGATATGATGAAACAAAATTAACAGCTATATGATGTAATTACTTTCTCCTACATTAGGAAGAGGAACTTTAACAGCCAAAATATGGAACAGTATAAGATCTGTGAAATCGAAAGCATACAACAGAAAATATTCTATTCACCTCCTTTTGCAGTGGAGGTTTACATCATGATACTTGGCATCACTTCACTACAAAATAATATAATTTTTCTAGATACTTTGATCACTCAACAAAGGAAGCACCACCTCTTAACCAAAATGAAATACTTAGCCAGACCGTGCTAATAGGTAAATCGTTTAAAGTAATAATTATTGTGCCTGGGCCTTGTAGAATATGTGGGCTATAAAATTAAAGACCCATGGACATTCTAATAAGTCATAAATTTTCTACATGAAGTAGACATCACCTACAAAAAGCCAAATAACACATCATATGATCGCATTCCCAAGAAATTCATGAGACATGCAACAAAAACCATGTCAGGACCAGCTCACAACTGAGGTCAAGTATTTCCTAAAATAGAGAGCTGAAAAAATAGAAAGCCAAGATAAGCTAAGTCACAGCAGAACATCAATGTACTAATCTGTTTTCAGACCAAAAAGTACAGCCAAATGTCCTAACATTAGAAGGCTTTGCTGAAGTCAACATCATGTAAATTACAGGGAACTTTAGGAAATCATTCATTAAAGAAAAGCATAGACCCATGATAAATTCCACCTCTCTCAAAGAATCAAAGTTCCACTCAACCACGTACTACACAAGAAGCAAGGTGCAAGTGTGAAAAGACATTAACATGAAGCAAGCTCAATCTCCGAGAAGAAAGGGCCCTGTGCTCTTTCATATGGGCTTAAAAAATAGATCTTAAAATTTGTTAGGTAATATTAATTTAGTTTTCCATATCTTTGTAAGTACTTCTCGTTTGTGCTTAGCCTCTTTTTCAAGGACTGGAGGGTAACCTCAACATGTAATTTTATTTTTTTCAGTACTTAAAAAAAAAGATCCATGAAAAACAAAAAAAATATAAAAAGATAGTCAGGTAAAGAAAATCCAATACTTTGTAATTTCATTATTAAACATTACCACTTAGAATGTACAAGATGTACAAAACATGATGTTGTATGTACGAAGAAAATTAGAGTGAAACCTGACAAAAGGAATTTGTTTGCGCCCAATAAGCTCACTATTACAGGTATTGGAGATTGCACATATTTAGGTCAAGTTGCGATATAGATCAAAGAAAAGCCAAAGAAGAAACATAACGTACCTTATTCCATCCCCAACCATAAAGTTTGCCATCAGCTGTCAATGCCATTGTATGTCTCCATCCACCAGATATCTGAAAAGAATAAAAGAAAGAATAAGACCATACAGTGTAAGAATCATAAAGACATAATTATCGTCGATATTGTTTTTTTTTTTTGACGATGCTTGTCTGCTCTTTAATAATCTTATGAGGACATTTAAGGAGTTAAAATGATTGCAAGGGAATCATGGGTAGGTGTTTACATAATTTTATGTACAGAAGATTTGTTTTGCATTTCACCAACTGCAGTTTTACACAAGTGTTGCAGTATCAGAATGCAGACAAATATCTTGTACATATAAAATGTCATAGCTCAAATTCATATTTATTTTGTAAAGTAAAAAACCTCTCAATGTGTCTGCTATGGATTCTTAACACTACAATGCGTTTATAAGAATGAAGAAGATATAAGCTATTATCACCGTTTGCATAGCCACCAACTTGAAAACTGACACAAAGAAGGATAAAAGTACTGTCAAAATCTTATTTGACTTCAAGTGAATTGTAAAAGAAAAAATATTAATGCCATGGGAGGAGAAACCGAGCATGCATTTTAAGTTATTATCTTGTCTGCACCAACTGTGCAAGAACCAACACATATTTGAGTCTTCCTTTACTCTTTGTTTTGGGATTTATCCTACAAAATCAAGCAAAAACCAGCTAAAACTTCTCAAATTTGGCTTGATTAGTTTTGCCAACAAAAAAATCAGTTTAAAATGAATAAGAATTGATAATCTTCAGCAGGATATCTCAAGCATCATAAGTGCAAATGTTTCTTTATTTCTTTAATGTCCTAGGAGGCCTAATCGAAGAAAACACATTGCAGGCAAACAATAAAAAGTACCTGAGAAATAAAACTCTTGCTAAGAGCATTCAACTTATGCGGTACAAGGTGGTCTTCAAAATCTCCATGGCCTAGTTGACCATATTTACTCCAGCCGTACGTATATAAATCACCAGAAGAGGAGACGGATATTGTGTGTCGCCATCCACAAGCAACTAGAATCATCTTGTCACCCTAAAAATTATAATAATGCAATCAATTGTTACAAGGAATTAGAAATTAAATAAATAGGAGTGGAAACAAACCAAAATTTGCTAATGATTGGATGATAAGATGGTCATGCACAAATTACCAGCAAGACAAATACTCAAATCCTACATTTTTAAAATTAACCAGAGATCAATCAGGCACTTTCAGCTTACATCTGTGATCACCGATTAAATATTGATCATATGAACTTCTAGTATTCAGAGATTCATACGATAAACTCATCAAGATTAAGGTAGTAGATGTTTATCATTGTCAGAAGCTTCTGAGCACAATCCAGAATATCCTATCTTAAATTCAGTTTTTCTTTTGAATCTAGCAACATCAACTACCAGTTTTAATGGATGAAATGTATTAAGTGATAAAAGAATTAATTCATTCCCATCTTTACCATCTACCACAAAGCGAAAAACATGCAATTATTAATATAATTCAGATAGGAGATAGACCTCAACAGCTGAAACTTTTGCAGGAATTAAGCGGTCATTTCTGTCACCTAGACCCAAGTTACCATAACAACCCCAGCCCCAACCATAAAGTTCACCATCTTCTGTTACAGCAGCAGTGTGTTCTGCCCCAGCAGCAACCATCCTCACAGGTACTCCCTACAGACAGTACATCACAAAAAAAAATAAATTTTGCAGATCAATATCGATATGTTCTCAGCAACTTTTATAAAAGTAAGTACAGGTCATCCAGGCAATCAAATGAAAGGTTCAACAGTTCATTGCAGGACTTTGTAGTTTGTTATCATTCATGCCTTGCCGATTCTACATTCCACAAGGTTATGTATGAGATTGTTTAAAAGTCGATAATGAAAGCAATAACCTGAAGGTAAAGTGCTCAAACTGAATCAACCAATTTCTGCCATTAACACATTCAGCTGAACAAGCATCACTCTTAATTCTTCTTTTGCAGGAACATAAATGACAAAAGCCAAAGCTCTAAAACATGCAACTTTTTTATGAGTACTGCTTTCCACTTTTCACATTAAAGAATTATATAAGCTTGGTGAATGAAAGGTTCATCAAGCCTAATAAACAAACTCAGGAAACTTAGCAATGATCTATGTCAAAGCAAGTGAAAAAAAAAATTTGATCCTCACTGACAATCTAGTCTCACATATAATTTCGCAATGCACAAGCAATGGAATTAGAAAATGCAGCGCCAACCCTAGCTATATCCAGCACATGAGTGCATGTGATAAAAATACGTTGCCTATGTATTTCCTTCACACTTATCATAAAATACAAAGTCACGTGATCAAGTACAGATTAAATCTCATAAAACTAACATGGCTGAAAAAGCAAAAGCAGAAGAAAGAAGCAAGTTCTGAGGTGCAAAAGTTAGTGAAGGAAGTATAGCAAATAAACACAAAAACAATCATACAACTTGAACTACCTGGAAAGCTCCAATCTTCTGTGGCACAAGAGAGTCCTCTGTTGTGCCAAGGCCCAACTGACCATTTTGATTCCGACCCCAACTTCAATTGACAAACATACATGAAAAAGGATCATCCAAAATAAAATGTCAAAAGGAAACAGACTCTGGTACACCTAGCAAATGTCAGTGACAGATTACTGCCAGCTTCTCTCATAAGCTAGCACATCATGCATGAATGACCTTCTACATTGTTCGTCTACTAAAGTGCATATAGCTGAAACAAATTAACTTTTAATGCATAAATAATTAGAAGTAATTCATGTCTGGCACAACACAAAGAAAAGGAATGAAAAGCAAGGATGCTGTTTAAATTTCATATAACGGCCTAAATACGTCCAATATCATCTTCAACACCTAAAATAGTTTGTTGGTTTCTTTAAGTAGAACTCTAGTTTTGGCACAAAATTTTAGCTAGAAGCTGGTTAAAAAAAAAAAAACCATGATCGCCTGCAATGATCTCCATCTGATAAATGAAAGATAAAACTTGGATAACCAATTTGGTGTTAAAAAAAAATTTGGTAAAAATGATGAAAAAAAAAATTTTAGAATATACAGGCCACCTTTAATCAAGATATGAAAAACAATGACACAGTTTAATCAACATGAATATTAATCGTCCTTCCACTCATGTACATCAAGACTTGTCATCCATTCACAAATGGTCATTCACCTTAATTGCTTATGAAGCACAACTATGAACAAATACACATGGCATGTGACAGATGCAACAACATGAAATTTTCCATAAAATTATGATCAGGTTTAGTCCAAGTTAACTATCAATTTATGATATATACTGGTAATTACCCAAACAAGATGGAATTCATTTCAATGAACTGCAGAAATTGGAAACAAGTATTTGCATTGCTAGTACAAAGAAAATTTGTTGTCTAGAGAAGTAACATATATTCATGAAAAAATAAGAGTAAGTTGTTTCCTCTATTCTATTATCTGTAGCAATATCAAAACATAAATATGTAATTAGAGATTAGATAACAGTATCAATAGCTTCCAGATTTTTCACAATTCATTTTCATGATACGGACATTTAAGGAACAAGAGCCATTAACTCCCATTGAACCTGTTCCAGGGTAATACAGTTTAACCAAAAGTTTTTGGTCAACTCTAACTGTCAGTTGTACACGGTATATACTTTCAGCACTTTAGATTCCAAAGGAGACAGGGAAAAGGATGAAAAAAAAAAGAAGGATACTAAGTGAACAAAATGGAAGGGTTAGACAGAAGATAGGAGTGGCTGCTCCTGCTGGAAGCAGGATCAGTTTGTTAACATAATTCTTGTGCATAACTATCATTGGCAATTGAATTCTTTTCTCCAACTTCTCCAGATGCAATGAATGGTTTAATACTCACAATATCCTTGCAAAATACTGAATTAAATCAAGTTTGCAATTCACATAGATCAATTCAAATAGAAAAAGTTACTGCTTTTAGGCAAAGAGTTACTGCCTAGTTGTTAACTCTAGTTACACCCTATTATTGTAACAATGACTACCAGAATCCAGAATCATATAGATCCTCAATCTCAATTTAGAAGCTAAAACATAAGAACTTCAATTACAGTATCTTTTTCTTTTCAGAAGGTAAAAGTTTTATTAGAGGAACCTACAGGTGCAAGCCAGATTGCAGAAGTTCCTAGGTAGACATCACTGTCTTTTGCTTAAAAAAAGAAGCAATGATAGGCACATTCTCAAAGCACATTGAGAAACAAAAAAGGGTCTGAAAAGATAAACAATGTTAGCAATACAGGAATATTTTGGCCATTTTAAGTATCTCGCAGTATTCCTTTTCTACGGATGAATTACCTGTTATATAGCCTGTTAAAGTGAACTCTATCCAGCTAGTCACTTCTTTCTTCTATCTCTAATCTTTTATCTCTAATTCTCACTGTCACTCTTAGACTCAAAATGATTTAGAGATCACACAAAGTACTTGAAATGCATTAAGATTCTACACCACATTCCAAAGTTGTTACAGTTAATGATTTGTTCAGAAATATTCTGTGTGATTACATGCTCTACTAAGTTTTAATAATTTGGTGACAATTCAAGGCCATCACCTTGCCAATCCCATTACTAGATCATTTACCAATCCTATAATTCTAGCCATTTATTTTTTTGATAGGCTTTTTGCAAATGCGTGTACCGAACACATCCACCGTATGACCCGAAGAGATCCTCCAATTGTACCCAATCAAGTCTAATGTGCTAGAAAATTAAGAAAGACTTTTTCTACATTTCCAGATCATATAGCTATCCAACACATGTCAAACAAATAAATCAACAAAAGCCAAGGAAGTTTCATAATCCATAACCAAATCTTCAGTTGAGGTCCAAATTTACAGTCAGAAAATGAAAAAGAAAAAGAGTCAATTGATGGCTACTTTATATTCAGTCAAAAGAACAATAATAAAGACATCCTCCACTGCATTCAGAAACTTTCAAGGAGGCAAATTCTGCTATCTTCTTTATGCGTGAAAATCTATTATCTTATCTGTTTAGCCGGTTTCTAGCTATATAAAAAATCCAGTTCACTGAAGATGCCAAACTTTTGTGTTTGAGCATTTTTTATACAGACATGCAATTCAAAGTTGAATGTGTTTGTCAATTTTTGATGAATTGTTTACCATATTCACTAGGGGAAAAACTGTACAGTAGAACTGTGAGTTTGAATATCCATCTAAAATCTTTCCTTGCTTTGATCCATTTAGCTGGAAAAATAGAATGCAGAATCGCTAATGGTATAACACCAGTTCATGCGCAAAGAAGTAAAGAGTTCTACAACTTATCTGACTCAGAACCAAAGATCAGTAATCTTGATTGTATTACTACTACACCATGTTGGGTAGCATGGCGGGGGAAAAAAAGCCAGCTTCTAAGTAAAGAAGTATAGGAAAAATTACACTAAGGAGCACAGCTAACCTCTGCACCTCGCCTTCCATGGTCACTGCCAAACAATGGCTGTCCCCACAAGCAATTTGCTTGATTTTTAGACCATGTAATGCCTTTATTGGCTGAGGAGTAAACAAGTCACTAGAGTTTCCATGACCCAACCTCCCAAAATCACCCCTACAAAAGTCCAAGATGAAGATATCATTATAAATTGCTTGAATCTTACGTAGTTCTCATGCCAGAAAAACCACTTTAAATAAAATTTACTCCTCAAGAAGTTAAAATCAGTGGATACAAACAAATAATATAGCAAAAGCAAGAGAACCAATTGCATATTTATGGTAGCAACCACAAATTAATAAGTCTGATCTCAGCAGTGAGGACCTAAGCAGGTGCTCCAAAAATTAAAAGTAACTTGTATCAAACCAGCATAATCACCAGGCTACTATGGAGCCAATTTAATCATCAATCGAGCAAACCAAATTATTTGCAAATAGGTTATTAAATCAGACATCCATAAGTATGTAGCTTGAGTTCTCTCTAATTCCTTTCCACAGTAATTTAATTTCAACCAAAGTGCAATAAAAAAGTTAGGGAGAGAACATAGAAATACCTGTTGAATTTTTAAGCGATGAAGAGTAAAAACAGTAAGGTTGAAAATAATGGAGAACCTCAACATAAATCTCTCACATTTACGAAACATTTTCTCAATGGAATTCTTCCTTTAGAGAAGATCAGCATGACATTGAATAGCTTCAAGAAATTCGCATAATTGTTTCACATAGGAATGAACTCTTAAAGAGTTGTTTGATGTTATTCTGCAAATTAGACCTTGTATGGTTGGTCCAGCATGGAGTACGACAGTCAGTCTTATATCAATTAAACATGAGCAGTTCTTTCAGGAACCCAAGTCAAGTCTCGTTGCAGTTAAAAATCTTTGTTGCTTTCTTTGTAGTATCAAATTCATTCGTCCTTCCGTGGAGTTTTGCTTGTTTACTTCATCTTTTGCCTTGCCTATTCTTTCCACTTTACTTCTATAAACTAACCTGTTAAATTATATGTCATTGTAAATAGATTCCCTGATATCTTTTTAGTGCACTCTATGTTAATGGTTTAGGACAAACATGGTGAGCTACTTCAGGAAAGGGCTGAAAAAGAATTTAAACATTCTTTTCTTTGTAACTAGTTCATTCATTTATATGCTGGTGCAGTATTTGCAGGAGGACTAATAAACAGGACCTTAATGTCTTGTGGTGCCACTTTTTCATTTCACACCTTATTTCGATTTCATTTTAAGGACCTGAGAGGCACACTTGTGATATAACACTTTGCGAAATTTAGTAACTGCTTTGATCCTCTCCAAAAGAAAAAGGGTATACACGACATACTATTCTTTTTGTAGTAATCTTCATATATGAACTTCAAGAGTATCACTTAAACAGCTAAGCTGAAATAGTCCAATGCAATGACATTCATAATCACCATTACTTTTTTATTTTCACTCAAGAAGATTGAAGTTTTTCCAAATCCTAACAAGAAGAATGCGGTTGGCCATCTGGCACTTACCTTTTGCAAATGATACTAAAATATAGTTTCAGTATAAGCATCTTATTTGTCCTGATTATTTTGTATCTGAAATCAGCTGATTTCCTTGAAGGTTAAGGAAAGGATGTGAATTGTCTCCCTACTATTTTCGCTCTGACTCATTTTCAGGTTTTAATACTGGAAGGGAGATTAGTTTTGCATCACATAGGAAATTAGTCTGAAATAGCCTGGGTAATCCAGAGAGCAATGTGGGGTGCTGAGGCAATCACATTGACTGTTGTACGATTCATGTACATTGTGGATTTTGGAAATGGCAATCAATTTAAAGTGGGAAAGGCCCAAACTGAAGATCAAAGCAGCATGGAGCTAAACAAGGTTTTGGACACAAGATCAGTTCTGAAATTCCAGAAGAGGAGCATCCACTTCATATACCCTCCTTTTCTCTATCTCTAGTAATAGATTTCTTGCTCTGTCTATGGGATGAGAGTGGAAATGTCACGTCATGTAGATCAAGTACAAGAAAATACACCCGTAGGATCAGAAAAAGCTGACCTAAGTTAAGTTAAAGGAGAAAACATTAGAACCAATGTGATGTCGGGCACAATTCTGCAAATCAGGAAGCTGTGTTCAATACCTTTTATCTACTTGTGGTGTTCAAGGAACAATATCTAATAGCTTTGGATATATTTTTGAATTTACACCATCTAATGCCCATTTATAAGATTAAACTTGCATCAAAAAGTAATTGCAGGAATTCATTGGCAATCCATCCTCAAGTCCAAGAACCATGCCTTTGAAATTCTTGATGAGTAAAAACCAGGTATTAGGAAATTATTGCAACTTTCCTCAAACTAAATCAAAGCTCAAACAAAGATTAAATCAGGACTCAGGAGTGAGCTTGCTTACCATCCCCAACTGTACACTTCCATACGTAACTCCGAGTATGCAGTAGTATGATCAGCTCCACAATTAACAGATACTATCTCAAGTCCATCCAGTGCACTCAATTGAGTTGGCGAAAATCGATCTTCAGCATCTCCATGTCCCAGTTGGCCATCCTCTCCCCTCCCCCATGAACAGATTACATTTCCAGCTGCAATAAATGAAAATCCAAAGATTTTTCAACCCATTACTGAGTAATAGACATTTCACTTACATTTTGGAAATCACAACCAATTCATCACAAAAATAAAAATAAAAATAAAAAACTAATTCTCCCTAAGTCCTCACTTGGGGTTCTTGTGAAACCCAATTAACATTCTTTGGACTATGATCGACGAAAAAGCAACATTTAATTTCAACGCTGTTTCAAAGATGCTTTAAACTGTTTTAGTAGTAAGATCAAACTGTGCTATGTACATTATTTTATCCTCAAGTTTTAGACATTCAAGTAAGTATCCATAGCTAATCCAAGCCAACTTTTATTTATTTATTTTTCCCCTGATTCATGCCCATAATTCAACTTCAACATTTTTCTTATTAAAAAAAAAACTTATTATTCCTTTCCTTTTTTTTTGGTTCAGAAACAGGTACAAGGAAAATCCTTAGAGGCTTAGACTATCACAATACGAATTTTACGCGGAAAAGTCTTTCAGTCAACCTTAAAAATCCAAGAACTCCCATCATTAAGTTTAAACAGCCAAAATTTTGAAAATTAAAAAAAATGGAAAAGAACAGGAAAAAGGGTAAAGGAGGACGTGTAACGTTGTAGTCCACAGAAGAACCGGCTCAATTAAAATTTGGTAAGCTCATTAACTAATCCTGAGCCTGATTAGACATAACAAGAATGTACAGCTTTTAATGCATAACGTACGGGGTCTTCATGCACGCAATTAATACCTCACCAACTAAATTTCAGCTAATTTCTGCAGATTCCAGCAAACGGAACAAAAAGAAAAATAAATAAAATAAAATGTTGCAGAGAAAATTGGAACAAAGTATCGTTTGGATTGTGAGTTTTTTCCAAAATTCGTTCAGCACGTTCCTTCGTCACATTTTTACTTCACGTACGTCACATCACATCGTCACAATATACTTTTCTCTGAAAAACTCCAAAAACTTACAATCCAAACGGACTTACATAAGAGAGCAACGGAATGACTTGCTCCGGCGGAGATGATTAGAACTCGGCGAACCGGCGAAGTTACTCCTCCTCCTCCTCCTCCTCCTCCTTCTGCTGCTGCTTCTCCTCCTTGTCCGTGATTTTTGCCGCCGGAACTACCAGTATCACGCTCTTCTCCTTTCTCCGCCATTTCTGAACTTTCTTGTCGGTTGGAGATACTTAGAAGTATCTTCTGTTTCGGAGATTTTCTATGGAGAGAGAGAAATGGGGGCGAAAGAGATAATAGAGGGAAACGGAAGCAGAGCGTATTTATAGTGATGGAGAGAGGACATGTGCGACTGCTGCACTTTTTCAAGTGTTCTGATGTCTAGTTTCCAAACGTGGAGGAGACTATGTTGTAAAATTGGACTGTACCAGTTGAAATAATTTGGCTTTGGACAATGAAAGTTGTTTGTCGTGTTACCCACGACAAAGCTGCATTTATGTTTGGGTTGCAGTTTTTCAACAAAAATTTTCGTTTTTTTGTAAATATATTTTTAATTATTTTTTATTTCACGTATATTAAATTATTATAATTTAATTTTCTATAAAAACTCTAAACATAGCGTTTCAAATGGAAAATCTGACAGATTTATAGAAGTAACAAATATTTTCATGAGATGTTTATTTGAGTTATTTTGATTGTTATGAAAGAAAATAGCATTCGATATTGATGCAAATTTCATAGGTCGTTTGGAGTTCACTTTTTGAAGGGTTTCGGGGGAAAATTTAATATGCTGTTTTTAGAAGATGTATTCAAGATGAAAAGATGATTGAAAAATATTTACAATAACCATAAGGTCAGGAGGACTCGAACCTGAAATCTCTCACTTACACTCCCTTCCCCTGTACCACCCAACCCAACCCAACCCTCCCCCAATAACCATAAAGTTGTTTGCTAAGAAAAAAAAAAAGTGCTATAAACAGGGCCTAATGCAAATTTGTCGTGTTTTTGGAATGCAACTCTAATGCAATGATCTGTAATTTGCCGGTTGGAATGCACGCTAATAGTAAGGAAAATTTTGGTTAGTGGTTGAATTTCTAGAACGTGATGGCAAATTTGAATCTGTTCAAGAAAGAAAGTATACGTTGTTTAGAAAGTAAAAAAGGTCTCATTCTCTCGAGTATAACATTTGGGATGGCAACGAGGCTGGTGAATAGCAAGGCAGGAGCGGGAGCAATAAAAACAAATTAATACATAACTCACCTCTTTTATTTTAGAAATTATCACACTTTGTGTCCATTGTTTAGAAATATCATGATTTACAGTCACTTTTATAGGTGAGCTCCAATTATAGGGCCTGTTCGAACCTGAATTTTTTGGGAGTTTGTCTAAAACTTTACTGTAATACACTGTAGAAGTTTTCGAAAAAATTTTGTATAAATTTTTGTAAGGGTGAAAAACTTTTTTTTTCTTTTTCTTCCCCGTCACCTGCGCACCCCCATAATTATAGTGACAATAATAGTAGTACCATCAGTAGTAGCAATACTAGTAAATTGAGCGATTGGACTAAAGCCCAAAAAAATTGAAATTGCCAGACATGGGCGCCCTTGGTGGAGCAAAGCGAGGTGAGGATAGTTAGCTAAAGACGGTGGGGGGCGGAGACCCTCTCCCATTCCAAAATAATCTCGTTGCCATTCCTATATATAAAGGTGATCATAGTTCAGGTTTTGAATCGAAATCAGACCAAAATTGGCCCGTACTCTGTAGTTTGTTGAATCGAAATTGGAACCGATTTTTGGAAATCAAAATCAGAACCATAACCGTGACTACAGGTTTAGGTTGAGTTTCACCAAAATTTTGAACTAGAAATGGAACTGGCGGTTTATGATCCATTCAATCCGTCTAAATAAATATTTGCTATTTAAACCTATTTAGTCAGTTTAGAATTCAATATTAATAATTAACATCTAATACTATTAGTTCCAATCGAAGCCCAATAGCCTATTGCCTCATTCCATTAGTAAGTCTATATCCCCTAACTAATCTAAATCTAAGACCAACCTAATCTAATCAACAATGAGATTAAAATTTCCGTCATTTTTGTTTTTCCTTACCCATGACGATACAATAATTTTATTTTATATTCATTGTCATATTTTCTTAGAATCAATTTATAACAACAAGTATTTAAACATAACAAAAAGAACTGAACCATAATCAGAAGAAACGGGAACTATAATTAGAACCGGAGGTTCAAGGACCGTAATCGTAACCGTTCCTATAAGCGTCAGTTTAGGTTTCACCTTTTAGAAAACCATCGATTTTTTAATCGAAATCAGCAATTCTGGGACCGTGGCCATGTCTACCTATACAATGTTGAGACAATGTATAAGATTTTAAAGAAAATGGAGTTTTTAACCTTTGACAGAAAAATAGTCCAATCGACATTTTTCCATTCTTCTTTTTCTCCCTACACCCTTTTGGCAAATCACCGCCATGCCCCTATTCCCATGCTCCTCTTTTTCTCTCCTGGCCCATCACCTTTAGTATATTCTTTTTTCCTCCATCTTCCATCCAAAAAAACTCGCGACGTTACCATGATTGGCCTTTCCATACAATTAAAGGTTTTAGTTGTTAGTGCCCTTGCCCCTCATTCTCCCCTTCCCAATTTTTTGCTTTATTTTAGGAAAAATGACCTACCTCATCTTGATATTTTGAAAAAACAATATTTTTTGTCCTTTTCTTTTAAAATGAAACAAAGTTATCCCTCCTATTTCGAAAAACGGAACAAATTAGTCCTAGAATGACAACCTAAGGTATATTCTAGGGTAAATTAGGTACATTACTTTAGTTTCTTTTTATTTTTAAGAGTTTTTTTTTTTTAAAAAAAATTTCCAACAAGGAAGGCGGGCCTCTACTTTAGTTTCTTCTAAATCTAGCTCACCTAATATGCACATGACATTAAGTCAACATAAACAAGAAAAAAGATTAAGACTTATAACATAACCATTTAGTTATAGACATGACATGTGCGAGTGCTGCACCTTTTCAATTGTCTAAATGTCTAGTTTCAAAACGTGGAGGAAATTATGGTATAAATTGTACCGTGCTAGTTGAAATAATTTGGCATTTGGACAATGACAGTTTGTCGTGTTTCTGATTGTGAAGCAAGAAAATGGTTTTCGAGAGTCTAAGGGACCGAAAATCACGATGTGTCCGAGCCACAGATACAAACGCACATATCCCTAAAATTAAGAAAGTCGATCATCATTTAGTTCATAGATATGTATAAATTGTGCTCGGCAGTTTGTTGAACCACAACCAAATTTTAGAAACTACGATCAGAATCATAACTATGGCTAAAGGTTCGAGCTCAGGTTCATCAAAATTTTGAATCAGAATCGGACTAGCGATTTACGATCCATTCAAACCATCTAAAACTACATTTGCTATCTAAATCTATTTGGTCAGTTTAGAATTCAATACTAATACTCACAATCTAATGCTAATAGTTTCAATGCTAACCCATTGTCCCATTCCATTAGTAGGTTTATACCCCCTGACTAATTTAAATCCAAAATCAATCTAATCTAATCAACAATGAGATATTTTTCACAATATTTGCATCATTTTTTCTTTTTACTTGCACATGATAATACAATAATTTTTTCTTTTTTACATTCATTGTCATTTTTTAGAATCAAATTTATAACAACAAGTGTTTAAATATAACTAAAAGAACTGAAACCATAATCGGAAGAAATCGGAACCGTAACCAGAATAGGAGATTCAAGAACCATAACCATAACCATCCTAATAGGGGCTGATTTATATTTCACCTTTCAAAAGAATTGGAATCGTCAGATTTTTTACCGGAAACAACGATTCTAAAACTGTGACCATGTCTACTTAGAGATGCAATTTAGGATTTGGGGTGTCATATTGTTTTCAGTACAACTTTAATGTGATTGATCTGGTGTTTTTTTTTTGTCAATTGAAATGAATGTAGACAAAAAAGAAAATTTTGGTTCATGGTTGAATGTTAACCATGCGATGGCAATTTAAATTTGCTCAAGAATATATATATATATATATATATATATATAGATCAAAGTTATTATTTCAGTCTAAAGGTGTCAAAATGGATAATTTGGGTGGGTTTAGGTTGGTAAAATGGGTTGGTAAGTCAAAAAATGAGTTGGGTAACCCAATTATCTATTTACAACCCATTTATTCTAATTTTTTACAAACTTATCTAAATTCATTTTGTAAACTAAATTATTAATTTTATACCGCCCTTTTCATCCACCATCAATTTTAAATATTTACTTATATTATCCAATAAGCCTAATTATTAATTTTTTTTCCATCCGTGCGCTATATCGCAAAATTATATATTATTTATTAATTGAACAATAAGGATATAAAAATTTGAACTAAATAACATGAAAGTAAACATAAAAACTTACCCCGCTCCACCCCTTACACCCATCATTAATTTTAAATATTTACTTATAATGCCCAGTACGCCTAATTACCAAAATTTTTTCATCCATGCACTATGTTGCAAAATTGCACATAATTTAATAATTGAACAATAAGAATATAAAAAGCTGAACTAAACAATATGAAAGTTAACATAAAAACTTAATTCAAAAGCTTATCCCACTCCATTGCCTTGGCCAATATTCCTGAGTTCATAAAAACTTCTATTTGTTAAAGTTATGTCAATTGGCAAAAATGAAAATTTGACATCTAGTTACAATTTCAGATATTTTGTCATGATTTCAATGGAGCAAAATATTAGCTAGCAAATCCAACCAAAAGACAGTTACCCAATTAACTTAGGGCCTATTTGGAACCGAGTTTTTTGGCCAAGTTTTTTAACTACTAGTTTTTTAACAATTTAGTTACAGGAACCAAAAAAAACTTATCACATTTTTTAATCTACACATTTCAAAATATCTAATACACAAAAAACTTCCTCTTTTCTTCTTCTTTCTCCCCCACCCCGATCCACAACACCTCCGCCGCCGGCCACCACCAGCTCCGCCGCTGCTTCCGGCACCAGCCACCTATTCCGGTGCTAGTCTTCCCTTTTTTTTTTCATTCCTTTCTCCCTTTCCCTCTCCCTCTCCTCCTCCCCCTCTCCTTCCCTCCCCTCTCTCCTTCCCCTCCCTGGCAACCCTTCCCCTTTCCTAGCTGCAATCTGGTCGTGCGGTACCAAACCGCATCTGCGATCTGGTCACGCGACCGGATTGGGCAAAAGGGGAGGGGGAAGGGAAGGAGAGGGGGAGAGGGAGATGGAAATAGGGGGAGAGAAAAAGCAAAAAAAAAAAAAAATTTTTTTGTGCACGCCATGGCTGCTGGTTCTCTGGCTTCAAGAGGGAGAGGGGGAGGGTGAAGGGGAGTAGAGGGGGAGAGG